CTAGCTAGCCTACTAGCCCTAAGTAGGCGAGGTAGACTATAGGTCTAGCTAAGGAGCTAGACTTAAGCTCTTAGCTACTAGATGTTCTAAAATAGATGAATTCTCTAATTTAATTTACTTAAGGGAAAATTCCTTAGCTATATAGTCCTGCCTAAGTTACGTAGCTACTTAAGCCTTAGGCATACATGCTCAGTTCTCAAGTGGAGACTTTAAGAACAATGACGCTATTCTTTCTGGCATATGACCATTTCTTCATGGGATTGACCTCGCAAAGGGTGACTTGTCCTCGTCAAGCACGTGCAAATAAATACATAGCCGCCATCTTGAATGAACTCATCTTTGTGCGGTTGTACATTACAATCTACTTTACGCTCTCGCCCTCACTCGAAGTCGAGCTGCTGCTAAAAGCGTGCTATTCTACGCCATGGCTTCTCTTCATCATTTCTTGGTGTCGGACGTGATTTCTTCCTCTGCACCAAGCTAGTAGCATCTCTCATCAACGACTCCGCGACGGTTGCGATTGCGACCTGGTCGACCCTCTCTTTGCCCGTGCCGGTGACGGTGACGCGGGGAGCCGCAAGTGGAGAGAGACCCATCATCGAAACTAAGTAAGACTAACATCCGGCACGAGGATCACCACCTGCTATCAATGCCCCGATCCTCGGCCAAACGATGTTGGTGACACGGCGACTTACTCTTTTCTCTTCTCTCGGCATCCCAAGGTCAAGGTCACTCCCGGCGAAAGGTTTCCGCATCAAAGCCCAATTCGTTGCGCCAATGGCCACCCTCCAACGATCGGCCATCTTCGAGGCCATCCAAAAGCACGACGCCAACAGCACCGCCGTTGTGCATTCGGACTCGGGTCGGAGCTTCAAATATGGCTCGATCCTGCACGATGTGGCCGCAGCAAAGGATCATCTGCTGCGAGCCACGGGCAAGAAAGAAGACGGCATTGCGGGCGAGCGCGTGGCATTCTTGGTCGAGAATGGCTACGATTATGTAGGTGCGCGCCATCTCAACACGCGGTCGACCCATACACCACATGGGCTTACTTTCCATAGTCACCCTCCTGGCCGTCATGGGTTCCAATGCCATAGCTGTGCCTCTTGCGCCCTCCTTTCCCGCCTCCGAACTGCGATATCAGCTGAATCACAGCGGAGCTCTTGCTCTACTCCACTCGGACAAATTCGAGAAGGTTGCCAAAGAGGTGCTAAAAGAGGGAATTGACGCAAGCCCTGTCAGCGTGAATGTGCCCAAAATTGCTGAGCGCGAGCCCATCCCCGGTGAGCAAGTCACATTGTCTTCTCCGGCGGAAGAGAAGAGCGGAATGATGCTCTACACCTCAGGCACCACTGCCCGTCCCAAAGGCGTCCTTCTTCCGCAGTCTGTGCTGGCAGCACAGTGTAAGAGCTTGATAAAAGCCTGGGAGTACACACCCAAGGATCATCTCCTACACGTGCTTCCGCTGCACCACATTCACGGCACAGTAAACGCTCTCTTGACACCTCTCCTAGCAGGTAGTACCATTGAGTTTATGTTTCCTTTCAACGTCGACGCAGTCTGGAAACGCTTTGCTGCTCCCTTCCTACCGTCCTCTCATGAATCTCACAAGAACCTCCCAGCCATAACCTTCTTCACCGTTGTCCCCACCATCTGGTCTAGAATGCTCCAGACACATCCCAATCTTCCAAAGGACATGAGAATTGCGGCAGACGAAGCCATCCAGCGTAAACACTTGAGACTGAACATCTCTGGCTCCGCAGCTCTGCCAACACCTACAAAAAAGAAATGGACCGAGGCATCAAGCGGAAATGTGCTGCTGGAACGATACGGCATGACAGAGGTGGGCATGGCCCTATCCTGTGGACTGGCCGACGAAGATCGAATTGATGGAAGCGTAGGCTGGCCACTTCCCTCTGTCGAAGCTCGTCTTGTCGATCCTGACACCAAGGAGATCATCGAGCATGGCCAGGACGAGGATGGAGATGGCAAGCAGAGAAGCGGTGAAATCCAACTCCGTGGACCAACAATCTTCAAGGAGTATTGGAACAACGAAGAGGCTACGAAAAAGGAATTCACAGACGACGGCTGGTTTAAGACTGGAGACATCGCCGTACGAAAGCCCGTTGGAGGCGGTCAAGGGGCAAGCGGAGACTGGGCCAAAGGAGCAGCTTACTTTATTCAGGGCCGCAAGAGTGCGGACATCATCAAGACTGGTGGCGAAAAGGTCTCTGCTTTGGAGATTGAACGAGAAATGCTTTCACTCCCCCAGGTCAGTGAAGTTGCTGTTGTCGGACTGCCTAGTGAAACGTGGGGTCAAAAAGCTGCGGCTATTGTTGTTCTCAGCGATGAGGGCAAGACAGCAGGCAAGGGAGGAAAGGCATGGGGTGCGCTGGACATGAGGAGAGCTTTGCACGGGAAATTGGTCGGATACAAGATCCCGCAGGATCTGCAGGTGGTGAGTTCAATCAAAAGGAACGCCATGGGCAAGATCAACAAGAAGGAATTGATAGTGGAGGTATTTGGAGATCAGGATAGGATCAGAAGGAGAAGCATTGAGGTTGGAGAGGAGCGCAAGGCGGCAAAGGAGAAGGTATGAGGGGGAACAAAGTGTCGGCGACCTTGGCCTGAGCATACCACCGCCTTGGAGATCTCGACTCCAGCGAATGAAGAGGAGAGCTGCCTCAGACTTTTCTAAAGTGTGTCGACGACAAGGAAGACAAACACGATATCACTTCAACGGTCGCTCGTGCCCAAATGGGAAATTGAGATGGCACCGGTTCACGAGTTCTTGATTGCTTCGGCGTGGATGTTCGGGCTTCACGTGGGTTCTCATGCACATGCGTGATGAATGGTCATGACAGCAGGGGTTCACGATCCACGCTCCTAGTTGGTACTCCCAGCCACGGGCCCAAGTCAAGTTCGAGTAGGTAGGTTTGCAGCGCAAGGAGTGATGTCCTGCTCGACAGTAGATGCTTGGATGGGTGTCCGGTGTCGCGAGATACCGGGTGCGCCGTTTCTATTTATATTCCCGTTGCACTTGTGTGTGTTCACTCGCATTCAATGGAGAAATATGAGATTCGGAGTATGGTGATGTAGTTTACCTTACTTTGTCCATCTTTTGTCTTTTCACATGGAAAGTGCGACCCAGAACAGAACAGTCATTTGAACATTGGTAAAACGTCACCTACTGGACGGACAATAAACACCCCATGCATTAAAAATCAATTTGGCTGGTCTCATGGTACCTTTGTCGTTGTCTCCGTATCGACATTCACAAAATGTATAATGCCAGGGTTAGGGTTGGGGTAGCGTCGCGGTGCATCCTTGGCTCGGTGTGCAGCTTGAACGAAGTGAAGACCGACATATCAAACGCCCTTGAGCGTAACAGACCACGATTCAATTCTGTCGCTGGCTGTGAAACAGGTGTACGAGAGTACAGTTGCGCCGGCATGAGAAACGTTTTGGAGCGATCTTTGATGTTTCGCCATGCAGGAAAGCGCTACTCAGCTTTCATGTACACATGGATTGATCAGCGAGAAAATGTATCATGTGAGTTGGAATGCAGGACTAAGGAGTCTAGAGCATGGAATTGTATACAGGCGAGGGTGTTAGTTAGGAGAGCTATGCGGTCTTCACAAAAACCCGATCACGCGAAGGAAGCCTTGTAGATTATTCCGAGCCTACGCTGGCCTCATCGAGGAACCCGGACAACATGCCAGAATTTTTTCCAAGGAGCCGCGCTGGAACCCAACGATGACAATAATGATAATCATCCAATGCAATAAGGTAGCCCCTGAAAAATCCAATGCTGGGGACAGATGCAAACTAATGTACCGGCGAACATATTGGCTCCTGTCAAACCCAACTCCCGTAGCCAGGAAGATCCATGACATGGACAAGGTACCTTATGCAAGCAAGCAACTCATGCACCCAAGCTCAAAACACGCTTCACAACGACAAGAGGGAAAAAAGTCTCGTAGAGTCATTCACTCATCATCCACCCAAGGCAGATTCTCATCATCACACGAGCCACACCGCACACTCTTCTTCTTCGTCAATGTCCATCCGTCCAACAATAATGCAACGCCGAAATCTCGGTCTCCCTCCCACAAGGAATATTTTTTCCTGCTGCGGCCCGGGCACTTAATAAGACAATCGATCATTTGACACGTTTGCGCATTTTTCCATGATGATGTACAGAATGTCTCGGCTACTTTGATGACTCAATTTCTACCTACCACCGGGCGCCGGCGCCATTCGACTGCCGTGGGATGTTGCCAATGCGATTCCTATTTTTGGACTCGATATGGTCAAAGTTCGTGAAATCGGTAATCGCGTGGTCAAAGTTCGCCCGGGGAACACGTGCCACAGCATCACTCAGCCGTCACCAGCTCGAACGATGCACGAAAGAATGTTGATGTGAATTGCGCAGTGTGAAGTTGACGAGGTCGATTATGATTATTACTATTCAAGCAAGTATCGCTCAAGGCGTGCGTTGTTCGCAACAGCCAATTGGGTATATATACACGTCCGTCCGTTGCCCTCATTCCCAGATAAAAAAGTTGCCTCCGCGGACCACCATCAGCACAGCGTCATAGTGGATGCCGGGGAACGATATCTCGATCGATCTAAACGGCTTCCAGAATATCCAACGCCGTGGATCCCCAAATAGTAATACAAAWGCGTAGTAGTGGTACAATCCGGCCAGCGGTGGATAAGCGAAGGAGTAGATGCAAAAAAATTGTAGTCCGAATACACTCGCGTGTTCTTATTGATGATGTAGATGGCCGTGAGCGTTGTGTTGGTGATCGTCGAAGTGTCCAGCGAGGCGCAGAACCAGCTGCGACTCATTGGCTGCGTGGGTGCGCCGATAGAAAGGTTCATGTTGTTGTCGTTTCGAGGAGACTCATCGTTTTTGGGAAGACGATGAGGCGTTGTCGGTAGATTGAAGCCTTTCAAGCAGACAAGTGTGAAAGCTGCCCTGTTATGGATGATGCGATGGTTTCATAGAGCAGATGTTGAGCATGACATGCCCAGAGCTCATCGCTTGGGGATCGGTGGCAGCGGGCAGGTAGGTGGCGGGCCCGGGCATGGTGGGTATGCTGAGGAAGGCATTGTTGTGTGGGTGTTGACGTGATGTTGAAGTATTGTCAGGCGGTGCGTGATGGGCTTGAGCGTAGAATGTCGCAGGTTGATGGTGAAGAAAATGAAAGGTGTGAGTAGCGAGACGAAAGTGACTATTATATGTTTGGCGAGCACTTACTCCGAGCCGGACAGGATCATTTCCACGATGCAAGCTCATGCTTCCGGCGGTGTGTCTGTGCGAGGAGAAAGGAGGATAGGGCAGCCCTGTCCTGCGCAAAGTTTAAGCTAAGGCAACGGCCTCGCTGATCGTTCGCAAAGCTCGTTGTGTTTCACCCTGCAACCTCGCAATGTCCGCCCGCATTAACCGAATGTGCGTGGCAGCGCGCATGATGCCTAGATAGATGCTGTCGCTGGGCCAGGACGGACAGCCGCATGCAGACAATGCATGGTGATGATGACAAGCGACATGTAAGCGAGTAGGCAATCAATATTCGGCGTCCCACACTGAGTATAGAGCCCCACCGCAGCATGCCTTTCCAAGACGTCGTGGCGTTGCGTGCTCGTGGGCCGGTGCCGGATTTTAAGTGAAGCCTAAATGCCACATTATTTCGCGACGGTCTTGGTTACGATGCAAAACGACCGTTGCGCGCGGGATGATAAGCAGACCTTCCCGTCCACGACCTTGACCGGTTGCCGCGCGCTGCCGCGGGCAGCTAGCAATCGCGAACCCGAGAGGCATCTCCTTGCCAGAAAATCCTCGAATCCGGAGGTGGGAACCTAACCAGCTGGTGTGAGGGATGCGGGGATCATCGCAGCAGTGATGATGTGCTGCCGCAAAACTTGGCTTTCGTCTCACGTCTGCATTAGCCACCTGGCCGTGTCCAATGGACGTTTCATCTTTCACACGATTTTCCTACAGGAGAGTGCCCATGTCGGTCGGTTTCGCTCCCAAACGCACCATTTTCCTTACGTTTGCGTCGTTTTTGTGACACGTTCATCTCGCTTGTTTTTGGGTCGGTAGAAGGGCGGTAGAAGCAAGAAGCAGAGACTTCTTCCTGCCTTTTCTCCAATCAATCCCGCCGTCTTGGCGAGCTCAGGGCAGGTCGTCCTCCGTCATGCTGATGTGAGCGCATCATACGACTTCTCAATTCGCAATCACAATGTCACGCCTCGCTCGGGGCCGACCTCGTCAACATCCCCAGCAGTAGTAACAGTTAATAATAATAACTGGCCAGATCTATTGATTGATGGTGCCCCTGCTCCCGAATCGTCCCGTTTAGACTTTGATGCCACACGTGGATAGATGATCATTTGCCGGTGCCTCTCCGTGTTTCTGCGTCGGCGCCTGGCACCTTCACATCGTTGCTAACGTGCTTGGGACCCAGGGGAAGCGACTAATGACACGATCTTGGGCGAAATGCCAATCTCTACCGAACAACCGTTGCGTTCTGAGTTTGTGTACCTGAAAGATCGACGTGTGGCTGTGAAGACCCTTGACGAGGAGCGGCACTACTGTCCCAGGAGGCAGTGCAGAAGGCGCGACGTCACTACCTAACGGCATGGCCAGATCTTGATGCCTGATACCGTTACAGCAGTTGCACTTTCAGTAGGCACATTATTATTATCATTACCTATTCTCACCCTTTCTGCCAGGCAAACGCACTTTTCTCTGCACAGCCACAAAGATCGCCGCGGTTCCTGAGTCCTCCCATCGTGTTACCAGAACGCCGGGATCGGAGTTGGCCTCGATCTCGTGGGGAACGATATCCGATCCAGTGCTTGTGCGCAATATACAGATCGAGGTCTGAGGAGTTTATCCCAAACCGTCCAAAGCAGCCGTCATTCTTCACACATTCTGGAAGCGAGCTGTACTGTACGGCAGCAGTGGCATCGGACCAGCGGCCGTGGAAGCGGAAGCGCCATCAATAAAGTCAGCCGATAACTCGCAACACTTCCGCAATTCCATGTGTACGTCTTGGCTGGTATGCAAGGTAGGAGTGTTATCTGAAAGCGGACGGCTGATATCTCTTCCACGACATGCGTCTCGATGCACTGATACAGCCATCAGTGAATGTCAGCTGAGTTCATGCAACAGCGGACGCCTATGTGGCCGGCAACTGTCCTCTCTCGATTGCCGAGTTCCCATATCGCTCCTGGAAGTACATACGGAGGCGTCTTCAATATGCTGACACTTGCAATCTGCAACAACACAGATTGCAAGGTTGGGGATAGAAGGTTCCTCGCAGGTCGCATATCATTTTCGAAACTCCCACCTGCCGTTGTGATGATGAGATTCCAGGGCAAGGCAACGTGAGATCTGACGCGGAAATGTTTGTCCGGGCGTGAGCTTACCAGAAAAGTGGAACTGAGCGACGCAAGTAACACAGCGTTCGAGGGCKGACAGTGTGTGTTTGGTGTTCCTGATTGCTGTTTCCCGCAATCTGCACGGTTGTCCGACTTCTCAGTCGTCATCCTCATCTCTATCATCACCCTCCCCAACCAAAAGTCACATCTCTCCCCTGCGAATCATCAAACCATAACCCCACCATGGGATTGGTGGGCAAGGCAAAGAGGGACGTGTACAGGATCTTATCCGGCGATACCCACTCGGCAGGCTTCGACTCCTTGAGGGTGTGAACTTTACCGGGACCATGTGTATCTTCGCCATCTGATGAACTTTGAAGGGACCGTTATCCTTGCATTTGCGCAAGAAAGGTTTGCGGAGCTGACCTCCAACAACCATGAGAGTACGCCTTCTTGGTTTCGGGAGCTCGGGATATTCCCAAATGCAGGTGAACACGTTCAGGGAGAAAGTTGATTTATTAGAAGGTTTTCGGCGTCCTTGCCTGATTTGACGTTCAATCACAGGAGACGTATCTATGAGTCTTCCTTTGCATACTCCAGCAAATCGAACAACTTCCTAGAACCTCAACTTCCTGCCTGACTACGTTACAGGTGCTATACACGGTGACATTCGGCTAGGAGCATGACGGACGAGGATAGGAGCGGAGGCTCGGTCAAGAAGCCAAGTGAGAACAAGCGTGTGCGTAAGCTGTACGGCGCGGCAGAGACAGGGTACCTGGCTGATGGTGGAGAATCGCTGCTGGGTAGGAAGTACATAAAAGCTCCCTAAGCTATTTCCTGCTTAGCGCATGACACTCTTGAGTCCCTCGCACAATGCCAGTGCCGCGGCATGCGGAAGCTGGCTGAACCGACGTACAGACAAGAAGGAGATGGGCAGGAATTGACGAGACAGTGAGCGAAATGCCAATTCACATCGTTGCGCTGATCATGAACGTCTCGCCACCTTGGAGATTCGACGACCCTCGCGGTACATCCGTCGAGCTGACTATGGAAGCGTGAACCTCCTTCAATAGCGGCTTATATGGACTGGTCCGCGTCTATCCAGCAGATGGGATGTGTCTGAACTCGTCTCGAACCGGCAGAGGCCATACTGCCTGTGATGGGCACGTGCTGTAGATACCGCCATCTCAAGTGGCTCAAGGGCTATCCGGGTTCCAATCGTGAGTTTTCTGCCTTCGGCATGCAGGACCATGATGGTGGGCAGGACTCTCCCCGGCAATGCAGGAGCATTGGGACTCGTTCGTCGAGAAATGAATTGCGCTGGACCAAGGAACTTCGGACTTCATTTCAGCCTTCATCATCCTCTCCAACTCCAGCTTCATTGGCAGCCTGAGTCGAGACCCACTGCTCCATCATTTGACTGCCACCGACACTAGGTCCGCTAGGATGGACGTCCCTCTTGCCCTTGCGCGTTACGATAAGGCATAGTATGCGACCGTAGATGCTGAAACCATCATAAGAAGTGTCCAGAAGCAACTTCTTCTTGTCGTCATCGTGTTCCATGGGCTCAAGCGGCGGTGGATCTTCTGATGCTTGTTTTGGAGGTCGATTGAGCTTTCTCTTTTTCGTGGATGGTTTCGCACGCTGAGTAGTGAAGAATTCCTCGTCACTGGAGCTCACAAAAAGTCCATCCTCATCCGCGTCTTCTCCGCCTGGTGTTTTGCGTTTGCTTTCTGTGGAGGCCTCTGGAATGTTGTGAAGCTCAACGACGTCCTCGTCGCCTTCTTCTCGGAGTACATCCGGAATCTGTGCATCGTCGGTGATGTTGATGGGATTCTCGTTGCTATTCAGCCAACCCGTAAGGTTCTTGCCAGTGGACTTGAGCTTTGGCTTATCGGTAAATTTCTTCTGTTTTGTGAGTAGAGAGTGCCGTGTGGATGTTTCTTTGAGAAAAATGGCGACCTCAAAGTCCTCTATAACCACGATGTCAGTCGACGAATGATGCATGTTGGTGGTCAGCATTACCTTGACTCGCTACGTCTTTGATGCCCTTTTTCTTCTTGCCCTTACTGCCCTTCTTTCGTGCGTTCTCATTCTCTTCCCTCAGTTTGGGTAGGACTTTGGGGCGCACTTCCTGAATGATGCGCGACAAGACATTGTCGCGGGAAGAGAGCAGCCACGGTGCGTCTGAAGGTTTGTGTAGATAGATGCGTACCTCAAGCACGGAGTACTTGGTGATTCGCAGGTACCTTCTGATTGGCGCCATTATTGAGGTTGCGTATGTACATATACCTTTGCGCGTGCAAAGGCGTGACGTGCAGAGCCGCGTGACGTAGTCCGATTTGTGTCTTTAGCCTAAATTCGGGCATCACTCACTCCAAACACGCTAACCTTATTTGGACCGGGCTGTGGGATCGCGAAAATCATCGAGGCATTGTTTGCTGTGGTCACTGATATGGACACAACATGATCGGCCACAACAATGACCAATTTTGACGTGTGAGAGCCTGCACTGGGTAAATTCCATAAATAAGTGTCTCTCGAGGGGTAGAAGGCTCGTTGGGCCTTGCAGAATTCTGGAGCAGAAAATGTGCTTACAGACATTGGCAGTGGTGGATGACCGTTCCTTATGACATACCTTACAGACACAGCTTCACGGTATCTCATTCAGCGTCCAAAATTGGCAATTCCAACGTTCAGATTCGGCGAGGAAATGGAAATCCTACACCAAGGTGCCTTACTCCCGGCTTCGGGAGGACTTCCTCACTTCCGATCGATTATTACCTCATCGGAGTACGACTATTGTTCCGAGAAGTGGTGGTCTTTGTGTCGAACCGATCAGATCGACTGCAAAGGTCTGCACTCGGAAGAACTTGGAGCGATCCGATTCCACTGGTCGAGTTTCTGGTGCATGAGAGACACCCGGTATGACATGTAAATAGAGAATCATGGCGACGCCAGAATTCCATACTGGCACAATCAACCACTCACAACCTTCCACACTCAAACCACCATGGCCACCATGACATTGGTCCAGAATGCGCGGCCAGCCCACCGCGTACGAAGGTCGTCGAAATCAGCATACCCTTCCGTCACCGAGTGCTCAACAACCAAATCGACAACATACATCGACAAGCCACTATCTCACCAAGCTTTGGTGGTAAACCAGGACTATCAGTACGAACTTTCAGAAAGTTCTCGACCACAGCTGGGCCCTCATGAAATACTACTACGAACAAAAGCCATCGGGCTGAACCCCATCGACTGGAAGACGGTGGAATACAAGTTTTGCATGCCCTCACTACCATGGATCAACGGCAGAGAATGCGCGGGCGTAATCGAAGCCGTAGGCACGGCAGTGGAAGACCTACGCATTGGACAACGAGTGTGGACGTCAACCTACTACCGAGATCGAAGGGCCGGCTGCTTCCAGGAACTCGTGGTGGTGCCGCAGCATACCGTGCTTCCCCTGCCGGACTTGTTGAACTTTGAAGAAGCTGCGTGCCTGGGTGTCGCGGGTCTGACTGCAGCCATGACTTTGTGGAAGTGGTTCGAATTGCCAATGGTTCGCGCAGCTGCTCCTTCGACCGCCGGCGAGCGGTTCGCGCTCATCTGGGGAGGCGCAACAACCACAGGCCAGTTCGGTATACAGATTGCGGTGGAGGCCGGTTTGAAAGTCATCGCGGTTGCATCACAGCGCATGAAGCAGAGGTTGCTTGATCTCGGAGCTCATCATGTTGTCGTCAGAGACGGTCAATCGCTGGCGGATATCGCTTCGCAAGTGCGACAGATAGGGGGAGACGATATCGTTTATGGCATCGATTTGGTTGGCCCGCAATCGGCGGCTTATGGGGTCGAGTGCTTGTCACATCAACATCCTGCCAAGTTTGCGCCTCTCGCAGTGCCTGCACCACCAATCAATGCACCAAAGAATGTCGACGTCGTCAATGTAGAGATGAAGCGGTTTGTGTTGGACTTGGCGTCGAGAGAGTACGCGGTTCGTTTGACGGAATTGGTGGCAAAGGGCAGAGTGGAGGTGCCGGAGCGCCATGTCTTGCCTGGAGGTCTTGCAGCTGTAGAGGACGGGTTGACTCGGCTGCGGTGTGGTGAGACGGGTGGAAAGAAGCTGGTAATTAGGATGTAAGTTGATCGAAATGATACTGGAAGCGAAACATTCGCGCAAATCTTCCTTGAAATGTGCTGATAGATCATAAACACTGCGAGCCATTCAAGCGACAGATTCATACAGGAACTTGCGACACAGAACCTAGGCTACTTCAATAGACATGTGACACTCTTGTCAGAGCTTTCCTGCCTCGGGATCTTCACACAATATCCGCACTTCTCGCCCTTCACGGACATTACTATAGGTTTCTGGACGTGGTAGCTCGAAGCCATGTAAACAGACTCCGTAGGTGATCCCACCGGCTCGGAATACGGGGCGTAAGATTGCGATATCAACCGTGGCCTTGTCTTCTTTGATGGCGTCTTCCCAAACATGGAACAGGACAGCTTGAAGCAGGACCATTGTTGCCGTCCGTTTCCCCGATCTTGGGCTCACGATATCTTGATGCGAATGGTACTTCAGCTCAATGGAAAAGGCGGACTCGAGTGCATACTGTGGCTTAACGAGCCGTCCAGCGTGAGGATGTAGTCCAGTCAGCGGCCATTCCGAAATGTGTGGTGGCGTATTGATCGATGTTGCATTCGCTGCCTCGACGAAAGAGTCGCTGATGATGCTGATGCAGGCTTCTTTGGTTTCCAGCACATTGCGAAGACTGTCGTTGGGCTGTTCGCCAACGAAGCATACCGAGTACAATGGCGGATCTGCGCAGACCGCTTGAAAGTACGAAAATGGTGCAACATTCTGTACTCCGGAACCCGAGATTGTGCTYAAAAGGGCAATGGGACGGGGTACGGTCGAAGATATCATCAGTTTGTAGTTGAGATTGGAAGGCCGGGTGGGCTCWTCCGGATCGATTTCGATCGTGCTATGTTGTCGCCATGCATTATTGTGTGCACCRTCGCCGTACGTCCACTTGGGATTTGGCGTCTTTGTCAACGTCCACCGACAGGTATCGTCGTAGTCTGGACGCGAGGCTTCTACGGCCGGAAAATCCGCATGCGGGTTCCTGTTCACCAAAGAAAGCTTCTTTGTCTGGGGCCTCTACAGGCAAGTCTCGCTGGTCGGCCATGTCGTATCACAACCAAGCAAGCACTTCAAACGATGGAAAGTGAAGCTGTTTACCTCGCAACAGTAACGAGCGGCAGAGCTTGCAGATGAGGTTTGGATTCTGAGCTTCCCTTATTGTTGCTTGGTTGAGTCGCAGGGAGCGGGAAAGTGCTGCCCGGCATCTTTCTCTCCCTGGATTTCGGAAGCATTTGAACTTATCAGGAGATAAGACGTCGAATACAGATAGATATACGCCACCCGGATTCTCATCTTAACAATCTTCAGCCCCGCATTGCGACTATCGAGAATCGAGATGGACTAAAGATACGGCAAGGCCTCTAGCTTTCCGATACCAAGCCTCAACAACAGTATGCCTGCGTTGATGTATCCTCCTCACTCCCATGTAATGCAGGACACAAGTCTTACTTGATCTGCGCCCTTTCTTTCACCCAGCTCGAGCGATCAACCGCACGGCCATCGAAAAAATGAAGTCTCTCGAGCTTCGCCTGCCTCGCACATTCCAGTCTCTGGAGCTGAACAGTGAAGAGTCAAGATGGGCGAATGCAGATATTCTCCCCTGCCCTGAGGAGCACCAAACTTTCACGAACCGCGCTTTTCTCGGATACTGTATGGGGTCGATGAGATGCCAACTAGGCATCAAAGTCCGCACTGAACGACAGCTGACAGCCAGCAGGGGTCGCTGCAGGTCTAAACACTACTGCATGGGCGTAGGTGAATGCAACTCCGCTCGGCATATGCAAAACTGACGGTTCAAGGCTGGGATCGAGCAACTTGGCTAGCGGGCTGGACTTGGGCGGCGCTCTCGGTGGCATCGCTGTTGGAGGTGTTCTGTCTGGCATCGTCGCCTACCTCTGCGGAGAACCGGGTGTCCGTTACCATCTGGGATTCTCGATGATGAGCAGGTCCACGTTCGGTATGTACGGGGCGTGGTTTGTCATCATGTTGAAATGCTTCGTCAACTTCATCTTGTGAGTGAATGGATCAACCCCTGACAAACTTCAGACGATGATTGTGCTGGATCTTACTGACTGGCAATACTTAGTTTTGGCATCCAGGCATATTGGGGAGGCCTCGCTGCCAACGTGGTTCTCTCCTCCATTTTCCCCTCTTTCCACGGCTTGGCCAATACCTTGCCCGAGTCCGCACAGATCACCACTCAACAACTGATCGGTTTCGTCATCTATATGGTCGTGTTTACGCCGATCATGTTCGTGCATCCTTCAAAACTTCAACCTGTACTTGCAATCGTAGGTGAACTCAGATGGACAGAAACTCCTTCTACATTGTTAGCAGATCACATTCTGACATGGACGGTGCGAACAGTCTCTCGTGACCACAACATGCACCGTCTTCTCCCTGTTCGTGTGGGCAGTTGCATCGAACGGTGGTGCGCCTCTGGCTCCGCCCCTGAAAGAGATCTCCGCAAGCACTCGCTCATTCCAGATACTACGGGCCATGTCGGCCGTCGCAGGCGCGTGGACTGGAGCTTGCATTCGTCAATCCGACTGGACTCGCTTCGCCAAAACCAGCCGGGCACCCATTGTACATCAGCTCGTTTCTGGTCCGGTGACGGTGACAATTTGTGCCGCCCTCGGCGCCTTTGCTACCAGCGCCATCAACGACATGTATGGAAGACTGATCTGGAATCCCATCTCGGTCCTGCAATTCTTACTGGAAGACAACTACAACGCCTCGACCCGTGCAGGTTGTTTCTTCGCCGGGATGGGCTTCTTCATTTCGCAAGTTGCGACGAATCTGGTGCAGAACTCTGTCTCCTGTGGCATGGACCTTGCGGCACTCGCCCCTAGGTGGATCGATGTAACGCGTGGAAGCCTCATCATGTGTCTTGTTGGCTATTTGATCAACCCGTGGCGGTTCGTCAATGCTCCCGGGACTTTCATCACCATTTTGAGTAGCTTTGGCATGGTGCGTGCGGCAACGAGATCTTCCTCCTTGTCAACTTGCAACATACGACTGACTGAATCACACATCTAGTTTGTTGCTCCYCYCGCCGGAATCAACGTCGCGGACTTCTGGCTTGTTCGACGCAAGCATTGGAGTGTGCCTGACTTTTACATTGGAACGAGCGAGAGCATCTACTGGTACACCGCCGGTCTAAACTGGAGAGCGTTTGCTGCCTGGATTCTTGCAGTCTGGCCGTCATTCCGTGAGTCATCCCACCGTCATGCCTGAAATATTATGCAATCTCCCTAACCTTTACGCGATTAAGCTGGCTTCATTGCCGCAACCGGTTCGATCAGCGTGTCAACCAACTGGGAGAGATGCTTCTCGGTGACTTGGGTCATCGGATTCTGCGGAGGGGCTACGCTGTACTACGCCATCTGTCTCGTGGCACCCCCGCCTGGTAGACCATTCGAGACTGTGCTGATTGGGGAGAGAGCGAGTGACCACCTCAGCGGTACAAGTGTGCTGACGGAGATACAAACGACACAGGAGCAAAAGGGGCCTGAATCTAGCTCCAAGAGCTTGGGAGATGCTTAGAGTTTAATATGAGAGCTGCCTTGATGATATATGAGAGGGTTCCTAGACTGATGAGACATTAATATGAGAGCATCTTATCGTGATTTCAATCCTTAAAGAGTTTTGGAAGCCTCTGTCTTCCTTGATACTCTGAGCATTGCGTTCAGAGTCGTTATACGTCATTCAATGACACTACGAGACCGTCAAGCCTCTCAAACATGAGATATGAGAGCCTCTGTTCATACGATATGAGATATGGGAGCTAGTTACTGCTGAGACACTCGTTTTTACCAGTTTGGACGACTCGATCTGATGGTGTGGACCCATCGCGGCAATTCGGCTCAGCAGCTTGACGTCCGACAACCAGGATTGGTGGGGTCTTGATCCGATAGCAGGGAACACATGCATTGTAGGATACATTAATAGAGATCGGCCACCGGTTCATCACCACACGCACCTAACACCATGGGCACTTTATCGATTAAACGAGCCTACATCGACATCAACGACTCCCAGCAACTGCACTACAGACATGTTGTTCCAGAAGACTGCGGTTCGGGCGTCATCGTGTTCCTCCACAAATCGGCCTCTTCCTCGAGCAGTTACGAGAAATTGATGCTTCACTATGCCAGCGAGGGCTTCTCGTGCTACGCTCTTGACATGCCTGGCTTTGGCGGGTCGTTCGATCCTACGCCTGAACAAATCGCGGAAATCGATCGCACCGGTACAGAGTGGTTTGCCGACATCTTCATAACGGCGCTGAACGCCCTTGGAATCACCAAACACGGCTTCCATATCATCGGCCATCACTCTGGCGCTTCTCTAGCCACACAGATTGCCGTGAGCTATCCCGAATCAGTCCGCAGCATCTGCCAAATTGGTCCAACGACGATTGGGTACGAGGAGAGACAGAGAATGCGCGAGATCTACCTGGTCCCTTTCAACCAGCCGACGCCTGACGGGACGCATCTTCAGAAGACGTGGGATTACCTTGGGAAGATGGGAATTGGAGAAGACTTGGAGCTTCGACAGCGAGAGGCTCTTGATCATATCCGCGCGTGGAAAGGACGGATGCTGATCTATGGCGCGGTATGGAACCAGGACGCCGAGACATTGTTCATGCAAGTGCGATGTCCGATTCTGGTCTTGTGTGCCAGAGACGATGTTCTTTGGGAGCACATGGAGAATGTTCAAAGGCTGCGCTCAGATATACGGACTGGTGTCATTGGCGGGGCCAATTTCTCGACGGAGCTGGATGTCTTGGGCATTGTACGTGAGTGGGATGCGTTCCAGCTGGTGGGCGCATCGCAAAGGGCAAAAGGGGGGACTGTATAGCCAATGATACGATAGTGTTCCCCGCGTTGCCGGGCATGGGCCGTTCCGTCCGTGCTTTGGCCGACTTCACCTATCATTTCTTGTGCCCCTCGCCTATCAGTTCTTGTACTTCCCCTCACTCGAGATCTGTCATCTTCGCGTTGCCATGTCACCTGAGTCATGACAGGTAGGGATACACCTCTGACAATCCCTGCTATCTCGTCCTGCTCAACTACCGACTACAGTCCCGTCAGCCGAGATGGGTAGCGTCGCACAGTTCTCCTCAAACAATTGACTGAGCATTTGATGGGATTTGATTCTGCGGACAGGAGTCCCCTGTATCCATCTCGCTAGCTAGGACAGTATCTTCTTATCTGCTGACTATTCGCCAGTGGTCGCCAGTCGATCAGTTATCACTCATCCGATACATTCATCATCTTATCTGCGCACTAGTCACTTCCGACGGCTGCCATGGCTGCTTCCATCCGACGGAAAGCTGATATACGTTCCTTCCATTGCGAGCATGCCAGGTTATTCGGGCAATCAGTCGGGTGGATTTCGCAATGGAAGAACAGCTCGAGGGCCCAGGCTCGAAGTCACGCAAGCGTGMGCGAACTGCCGTGGCTTGTCGTCGCTGCAAGGTGCGCAAGCAGAAGTGCGATGGAGTAAGGCCGAGCTGCGCCAATTGCGTCAACTCGGACAGTACATGCGAGTATGACTTCACCTTTGAGCTCAATCGCAACCAGGAGCAATATTTTCGTGCCCTTCGGAGGGTGAAGGAATTGGAAGGTGCCCTGGGCCGCTTAACGCAGACGACATGCAGTCATGCACCGCCTCTGACAATGCATGTCTCGCCGACGCACCCTGAGAGCAGTCATGAACCTCCTCAGAATGTGAATATCTCGCCGTCCGCCATGCCAATGGACCGCCGCTCACCACTTAGTGTGGTCAGCCAAGCAGAACACCGGCCACCGCAGAATATGCCAGGTCCACTGGACCGCTCATTGCCGCACAGCAGTCATGAATCTGATCGGAATGGCTCGTCACTGAATACGCCAAACAACTCGCAAGAAACCTCTCGCGGCTTCCAAAACCTGGCATTTCAAGCGACAGGTGGCTTCGTCAACTCTCCTTCGGATGATACCTTCGGACGCGTGCTTCACGCCGTTGTATCCCGCAAGAATAGCTTGGATCAATCCGCGCAATCACGTCTATTGAACCAGAACTTGACACCCAAATCCTTGGAAAGTGCAGTTCAGCCTGCCTCCCCGGACAACATCACCCTTGCTGGCATTCCTGACGTCATTGCCGATCGGATGATCAACAAAGGCTACTTGCATTACATCGCTTTCCTCTGGCCGGTCATGCAGCCTAAGCAATTGCAAAGATTACACTGCAATAGAGCGGAGCTGACCGATCGCTTCGAAATCGCCGCACTCCACCTCGTATATGCGGCCGCAGGTCGCTTCCTAGAGACTACGGGAGAGACTGGCAGCTTTAGATCGGAAAATCATTATCGGTCCGCAATGGCTTTACTCGGCGAAATACTGGCGCTCAACGCGAGTGTCCAGACGGTGCAGATACTGCTGCTGCTCGCCATGTACGGTCTTCGAGCACCGCGCGGCCCTGGAGCTTGGCCGCTCGTTGGAATTGCAATGCGTATGTGCATTGAGCTGGGACTGCACAGGAAGAGCACCCACGAACCAGGTAGGGACCCCGAATCCGACGACCACCTTCGTTGCATATTCTGGAGTTGCTATTGTCTGGATCGCCAGACTTCTATCATACTAGGCCGTCCGTTTGCGGTGGCGGATCATGATATTGACGCCGAACTCCCGCTGGGCGTCGGCGACGAATCTCGGAGATCTTTGACCCCGTTCACACACATATGCCGCCTGCGTATGATTGAGTCTCGCATTCAGCAGACTGTCTATCGTGTGGACAAGGTGGTTGACGCAGCGACCATGATTGCCGAGATCGAAGCAAATCTGAGACAGCTCGACGTGTGGAAGTCCACGATCCCGATGCGAGGGAATGAGGGCTCAAGCTCAATTCACAGCCGTGACTCCTATGTGCGTCATCCATGCTGATAACATCTTTGCTGCATGAAATTGTTGACCTTAATCCAGATGATTTATTACTACCAAGCCATGCGATTCTTACTGCAGCCCCGTTTAATTACGGGCAACGCGGAAGACAAGTTCATTCTCTTGGCTGTGCAGTCATGCGGAGGGATTTGCCAAACGTACAAACGCCTTCATCAAAGCGTTTCCGTAGGCTTTTCGCTCATGGCCTTGCATTCTGTATTCTTTGCTGGCATCACGATACTGTATTGCGCGTGGGACTCGCCGGCTCTCGTTCTGACAAACGCAACGCGCAATATGATTACAGATTGCAGCATCGTATTGTACATCATCACTGAGAGATGGCCGGGAGCAAAGAGGTGAGTGTACTGCCGTGAGGTCGTCCGAAACATGGCCTTGACCTGCCGAATGACCTCTCATTCGAGCTCCACAGAACACCCACTGACCATTGAACTCTCGTCTCGCGCAGATACCGAGACCTCTTCGAAGCCGTCAAAGAGCCGCTATTGGACACCATTGAGCAAAGCCAAGGGGCACGGCGATCCACTGTGTTAGGCCTACAGCCTGAAGTAYACAAAGCACTACATTCGATGGAGCAACCCGAATTTTCTGCCATGTTAACGAGAATGATGGGCGAGTCTCCGGTTGCTGATGATGCCGCACATCAGCCCAACAACWCTTTTGGCCACTCGACGATGAACGAATCCTCATACGACCTTGGAGTCATGCCTGAGCTGGCATTCGATTTCTCTTTGCCTTTCGATAGCTGCGACGTCTCTTCCTTCAATTCGACTTATTCGGAGTCGGATATGCGTGCWTGGAGTCACAACATGCACCCGACAGACACTTTTGCACACAGAGATTCGAGCCTGCGTGATCGCGCATGACGGGAATCTACTTTGCGCATTACGAGAGAAGAAAGTATCGGGAGAAATACTGCTGTCAACTAGCTACGATTGATGCCATGTCCTTTGCATAAGTTCCGCTGCACAGGTAATGATCTACATACGGGCCCGTAAATCGTGAAGTCTACTCAGTCGACCACACGGCATTCAAGGTATCTATATGGCAAAGCAGTTCTAAGCAAAATGAGCCGTACTTCTTCCCAAAGTTCTGCTGCCTGAATGTTACGATTCATATCTTCATGAAAGCTGATTGATTATATAGTTCCCAAGGCAATGAACTGGTCTGGAACCTCGACAACTTTACACCTGACGTACTCGGCAATGAACTTGCCCAGGATATCATACGTTGCATTCGCCGTCACTCCGCGGTCCAACCAGTCATGCAGCAGAAAGTGCACGGCGCAGATCCCGGGGAACTCCATGCGATCGATGAGCTGGCCGTTGTAATCGTCCGCTAGCAAGTCGATGAAGGTCTGCTTTGTGAGAAAGGATCGCAACCACGGCCAAGCCGCGTCGTGCACGGGGAAGAAGCCGACGTTGCAATTCGAACCCTTGTCGCCCGCCCGGGCGTATAGAACTCGTCCCAGTGGGATCTTTGAAGTGGGTCCGAAGGATGACAGTGGAGTTGGTGATGATGGATCGTAAGACGGCTGAGACAGGGCTTCTGTGAGCRTCTCGTGAGGCGGTGGAATGACCAGCTTCTCGTGTTGCTTGTCGCTGAAGTGGACGACGGTGGTTGGCTGGGGTATCAAGGTCGGGAAGTATTCTTGGAACCTGACGGGCTGGACTTTCTTGCCGGTATACGTTGCTGCCGGGAAAGTCTGCATGACAAAGTCGAACAATGGAGCGGTGAGTTCCTCCGGGCTAATGCTGTCGTAGTCCGATGCCTGCAGCACCAGGCGTAGGTCAACGGTGGCAGCATTCTGCGAGCGAGGATTCTCTGCGACGAAGCCATAGATTGTCAGATCCAGTACGGAGAGCTTGCTCAGCCGCGCCTCGCCCAGACTATGTCGCAGCTGCACTTCGTACATTTTCTTCTTTTCTTCCACATCTAGGCCGACWAATGCCCAGTTGAGATCTAGTTTCCATCCGCCATGGGCGGTTATTCCGGCTTTGGTGGTCGCTGGTGGTGGCAAGCCCGTGATGCCTGTCATGCGAACACGATCTGGCTCTAGTTCCTGGAAGTGGGCACCATCTATGACAGCCGTCACGTCGCTATTGTAATAGTATTTGCCCTGGATTTCGTACRGCARCTGCTCCTTGCACGTTGCGGGTGACACCAGCCCGCCAGATCCAGTCGCCTTTGTTATGATCACGTCGCCGTCGCCGTCGATCTCTGCGATGGGGTAACCGAGATCTTGGATGGTGCTCCAGTCCATTTGCTTGAAGCCCGTAAAATTGCCGCCGGTGACATATGTGGAGCACTCGATTAGATGGCCGGCGATCAGAGCGCGAGCTAATCGATCGAAGTCTTCTCTCTGCCAGCCATGCCACCATGCGGCGGCTCCTACGATGGGAGATGCATCGGCACAACGACCACAGAGCACAATATCAGCTCCAGCTTCGAACGCCTTCGCAATGGCCCAGCCGCCTAGATAGCATTGTGCAAGCAGCGGCTCGAAAGGCCAGTCGGCCATACTCTGCTTGGTGCATACGCTGCGTAGCGAGGACGGGTCGCTTGCTCGGATAGTGGACGTGACAATGTCCCCTTCCACCCATGCTACCGACAGTGTGTCGGACAATCCCTGATCGGCGACCATTTGGCAGACCTTCTTAAACAAGGCTTCCGTGGCAACACACCCGGCGTTGGCTGCAACCTTGATGCCTTTTCCGGCTATCGCAGCCAGTGCGGGACCCAAGGCTTCGAGAAATGATGGCTCATATCCGATTGCATCTTCGCCTTCGGTAGCAACGATGTATGCTCGGGCGGGCATATTCAGCTCACTCATCCAGTCTCCGACCAAGAAATCGATTGGCTCTGTCGAATTTGCCGCTTTGGACATTGCATTGCGTCGATCGACTGGTGAGCCAGAGATGTTCATTATTCGCACTGGACGTTTGTGTTGGGCGTGAGCAGCCATGATTAGGTAGTTGAACAGACGGAGTCGATGCTGATGTCGATTTTGGCGACTGGTTTACAGACAGTTGAAGTATTGTGTCCAGAGCATCTAAGATGGCGAGGTCGGTCGGACAGTGGACCCCCTACATTCTTATCAAGACAAGACAGTCCAACAACATGATGCCTCGCGAATCGCGGTGCTGGAGACCCAGAGACAATCTGGTGGGCCATTCTACCGAGTAAGCCGACGGGAGTCGTGAGTTGAATCCGATGGAACCGGAATTTCCAGCGCCATCTTCGGCACTGCTTCGTGTTATCTGATGATATGGCACTGCAGCGCAATATATCTAGTGTAAGACACGTCCGCGAATGCATCAACTTCCAATTCACAACAAATATACTCGGATCATCAAGATGGGCTCCGTACCGGCAGCAAAAAAACGCATCGTTCTCAACTTCTTCGAGTATGCCTGCACAGGAAGCCACATGTCACCGGGTCAATGGCGCGATCCAACCGATCAAAGCCATACTAAAGACCGTCTCGAATACTGGATCAACCTTGCAAAGCTAGCGGAGCGAGGCAAGATCAGCTACATATTCTTCGCCGACAGCTATGGTGGCCAAGAAGTATTCGCAGGAAACAGCGACGCCCAACTGAAAGCAGGCAATCAGACCGCCAGTATGGATCCCATGGTCCTGATCCCCGCGATGGCTACCGTGACAAAGACACTCGGCTTTGGCGTGTCAGCTTCCACCAGCTACTTGAATCCCTACATTCTCGCACGCACGTTTAGTAGTCTTGACCATCTTACCAATGGCAGAGTGGCGTGGAATATTGTCACCAGCTGGGCAAAGAGTGCGGCCCAGTCGCTCGGCTTTGACGATGTGATTCCTCATGACGAAAGGTATGCTATGGCGGATGAGTACATGGACCTCTGCTACAAGTTGTGGGAATCGTCCTGGGCGGATGACAGCGTGGTGTGGGATAAAGAGCGAAGGGTAGCTTTCGATCCGGAGAAAGTACGATATCTGGAGCATAAAGGTATGCTTGGCTGCCTGTTTCTTTGGGAAAGGTCGATTCTCGGACTGACAGCAACATAGGCAAATACTTCAAGATGAAGGGCCGCTACCAGACACATCCGTCTCCGCAGCGGACGCCTGTTCTCTTTCAAGCGGGTACATCCAAATCTGGCCGAGCTTTCGCCTCCAAGCATGCTGAAGGTGAGCCAACGTCGAGAGATCTTGGTCATTGTCTCTGGACGCAGCAGCTAATCGGACTCGAACAGCTATTTACATTGGCGGTCTATATCCAGCACAATCCGCAGACTCGGTTCGACAAATTCGTGCAGATGCAGCAGCACGGGGCCGCGATCCAAGTTCCATAAAGTTCTTCGTTGGAATCTCTCCGATTCTCGGGGCCACCTTGGAAGAGGCCCAAGCCAAGTACGAACGCGCAAAGGAGAATGCGGACGTTATTGGTGGGCTCGCAGTCTTTGCAGGTTACACCGGCATCGACCTGAGCAAGCACCCACTCGACGACTTGCTGGAACTCAAGGGTGCTCCAGGCGAGGACGCCGTGCACTCGTTCCTGACCGCCTTCAACCACGTCTCAGGGCTGGACAAACCTTGGACGCCCCGCCGACTGGGCGAGACCATGGCGCTTGGAGGCTTCCATCCTGCACCTGTGGGAACTCCCGAGATGGTCGCCGATGTCTTCGAGGAGTGGATTAGAGACGCGGATGTCGATGGCTTCAATATCAGCTATCTCACCACGCCCGGCAGTTTTGAAGATGTAGTCGATTTACTTCGCCCGGAACTGGTGAAGCGGGGCCTGATGTGGGAAGACTATGTTGTGCCCGGCGGATCGCTACGAGAGAATCTCAATGGGAATGTTGGCAGGAAGCGGATTCCTGCCGACCACTATGCGGATCAGTTCAAGTGGGGGACATTGTAGATCAGACATAGAATCAAGTCCAGGACGTCTTCGAGCCGACCCCTGAGGTGGGAACTAGACGTCTTGTGTACCAGTCAGGACCACGTCGCTGAAGTTGCTGGTTCTAAGGTGTTAGAGGATCGTCTGGAAGCCGCGCCTGGTCACTCGTTCAACACCAAGATGCCCACCGTCATTGCAATCGGACCCATCCTAGACGAGACGGTTGACATCGCCGGAATTCTGATATGAGAGTTGTGCGTCAGGAAGTGCTGGACAGAGCCTGGACTGGCCGATACATGTACTGTGAGCGTTCGAACCAGGTAGTAGGGATCAGTAAGTTGGGAACTATCGGAATGGCGATCAAGCGTGGACGAGTCGTTGAACAAAATGACAGCCTCAACACAAATGCCAGCGTTTTTATCCGCGTCAATACCGAGAAGCTCAACAACAGATCACGGTCCATGATCCCGAACGCCCCAAAGAAGGTCACGATTCAGAACAAGTCCAAGACACCTTATAGAGCTTGAAGAAGGATATATCCTCACCATCGTTGTCGAGTCAATTGKATGTATGCAAGGCGGGAGTTGACGTATTGCCGCAACCTTAACCTTCACCAAAGTACAAAGGATCTGGTACCTACGCATACTCTTGCAATAAATGCCGCATCTGCTGTTCTCAGAAAAATGCCTTCAAAAAGCCGTACCTTTTAGCCCTGCCTGCAGGCCGATTAGAACACTCAATTTCCAACATGCAAACGCCAGACGCTCCTTCTCGGGAAGAGACAGCCTTAGATCCCCAAAAGACACTAGACTGGATATCAAGTCGCCTCGCTGAAATCTATTCCATTCCAGTTCCAGCCAGTGCAACAGCGAACATCGACCGAGCTACATATTCCAAGCTGTACACCACTATATGGGACTATTGTTCCGCCGCCAAAGACACGGCGTCGAGTCAGCAAGTCATCAACGTACGCGGGAAAGAGCTCTACTCAACCCTGGAGCAAACGATTCGGACTCATTGCCGGGAAAGCATYGCTCACATCAAGGCTGCCGACGGCGGTGGAGAAAGCACAGGTTCTGGAACACTTGCAGCGTACACGGAGCGATGGACGGCTTTCCTCCGCCTTAGTAAAGTCGTAACGCATCTTTTCCAGCTTTTGCAAGATCGCTGGATTCAGCGAGAGATTGCTGAGGCGAAAGGCGCCGTCGCTGAAGGTCGTCGCGAGGGAGTGCAAGCGTGTATATCTTATTCCGGAGCTCCATATGATGATCTGGAGGGAGATTGTTCTGACAGATTGCACGGCGGTTGTGGATGCTATAGTAGCAATTGCAGGCGCAGGAGCAGGATCCGAAGACGCAGAGCGAGGGAAACCAAAGGGTTCTTACTGATAGCAGCATCGCTTCGCTCGATAAAGTCGGTCTTGCATTCACCGATGGTGGCTTGGTGGCATCACATTAGTGAATGGCATACAATCTTTTAACAGACCAAGAAGGTCTTTCCTTACGGATTCCCAGATTAGGATTCATGTTGCACTAGGCAGCCCCGGCCTATAACATGGAGGTGTTTGTTGAGGAATATCGTGGCAAGCTGGAGCAGCTCAGGCCTACCTCATTGAAGACATGAAAGCTGACGTTCCGTCTGTGAGGCCAACCTTATATAGCTGTTACTACTACTAATAAAATCGTACATAACACTGATATTACAGTCGTCGAAGTAGTAGGGGCGCTAGAATACTTCGGCGAAACTTAGCAGAGAACAAAAGGGAAAAAGGGACAGGTCCAAAAAAGTTCAAAAAGAAACTTGTCGCTTCTGTGGATCGAACTGGTGGAGATGTTAGACTCTGAATGATTGAGGACGAAAGTCGGTGAATGCTTACCACAGTACCTCCAGATACCGCACAGGGTTGTGACGACTAAAGTGAACTTCAGTCTGGCGCTCTCCCAAGTGAGCTAAAGCGACTTGGAACACCGAGCTACACTCGTTGCGATGAAGACGGAGCGGCTCGAAATGTATAAGACCAGAGCCATGTGGAAGCTCCGAATCAGCCCCGCGGGACGTGGGTCTTGGGTCGGGATTTTGGGTCCCATTTAAAGCCATTGATTGGCTCTTTGCAGCACTCGACCAATAACTTGGAAGCGATCACAGTCAGTTGTTTTAGCCATCGCTGACATGTTGATGTCCAACTAATGAGGCAAAGAGCTCCTGCGTCCAGAAACTTTCGGTCGATATTGAAGGTCTGCAAAGTTTGCGTCTGCCAAGTCCGGCTTTTCGCTTTGAGAGGGGCGCCGGCACCACTTCAAAAGCGACCACTGGGACTTCGCATGCTGCTTGCTTCCAGGCGTTTGATAACAATGGCAATGAGCGAACGTTGGCAAGTCCAAGTGAGTAGTACCCGAATGATGAATCGATTATTGGATTTGTATAACAACACTGGATATTCATACCACGTCGTGGATTGTTCGTTGCATCAAGTAATATCGTTTAGACGATCCTCCGAGGTGTAGATGGTGGCTGTATTGGTGCTCGACAGATTAGGCTGCTGATGTTCATCTGCGCGTTCAGGTTCTCGCCATTGCGAAGAGGATAGAAAGCGTGAGTCACCGACCACATCTCACAAGCCACAAGTTTGCGAATCTTGACGGTGGTGATCGAACGTCGTTCACCAACGAAAGTAAGTCTTCCACCGCTCCGTACCAAACCCCGGACGATGCGCTTGTCTGGAGATGTGATCCAACAGCGTCTTCGACCAACTATGACGCTGATGAGGATGGTCAAGCTTGTCCAAAAGTCTCCAATAACGTCCCGCGTAGTGCGAGAGTCGGCGCACTTGATCGTCGGACGATGGACGAAACAGTCGAACTAACTCGGCGGGTTAGGTCGTCATGGTCGAACTTGCCCGTCGGTCCATTCTGACGTTGAACTCGAATGCATTGCGAAGATGGCACAAGATGGCGCTGTCGTATATTGCCTGGCCAGTACTAAGTAAATAGTGATACCAAAACAGCACGAAGGAGTGCAGGGGTAGCACACAAATCTCCGAAAAGTCGTTTTGCGCCATACTCATTAGAAGCCGTTAGTTATAGCTGGATCAACGAGCCATGGGTATAATAGTGTCACGTAAATGTGACAATGTTCCGAATGGCCCGGGTAAGGACCTTCTCTGTCGATTATTTGAACGGAAAGAGGCCGAACGTCCACAGCACGAGAGAGCGACTCACTCTGACCGCTCTCGACGCGAACCATGCGTTATTACTATGATATAGCTCACTTCTGATTGACCGAGAGAGATCATTCGTTTAAGTCGAATTCGAAATGCTGGTCTTTTGGATCGACAAGATTCGATCGTCCGTATTCCAGGTAGACGAAGGTCCCTTTGACGGAAGTATCCGGAGTGACAGGGTGGCCTTGTGCGAGGCACTTCCAAATTTGAAAGGCTATAGCTTGAAGGACGACCATCTCCGAACAACCTCGTACAAGGGTCTACTCGGTGTCCAGACAATCTATGCAATTTGTTATGCTTGGGGTTGTTGAGCTGGACAACGAGACAATGAACGATAGCAGAGCTCTGTTACACTGGTCAATACCTGCGATTGACAGAACAACGCCATGCTGTCTTGGTTCGCATGTCATGCCCGTTAGTTCGCGGGTAACGGCTGCKACGGTGGGCGTACCTTGCACCTGCTGAGTGGCCGTTAACATCATAAACATGATCCGATGACATAGTGATCAGATTGGATTAGACCACAGCGACCGTCCACATAGAAGATCGGTCAACCCGAGCGCGCGGTATCTTTAAAGATCTTACCATGTACACCGTTGTAGCACTCGCTCCTGCACTGGAAGATCCAATTTTGGTTCGCAAGGATGAGGCGAGGTGATAGATGGCTCGTCTGTTCAACTCACCAGAATATGCTGCAGTTGTGCCATTTTGAAGGCCGCATAACGAATGCAGGCAACAAATTGCTGTCGAAAGTTGATGAGTAATAAGAAGAACATCCACGTTTCGTACCCCACCGGAAGTCCCACCCAGTACTCGTTTCCATGGTACGCGTGAGAAGGATGGGACCAAGGCCCAAGCTGCAGGTCCTACGGACCCTGCTTGTAGAATGCCAACGAGGTGGCAAACGCTCGGATTATGCAGCAGTAGGGACGCGGAGTGACTACGCTACCTGCAGGGCACATGGCATGCAGATTTCCACCAAGTCCAGAGCGATAAGGTCGATCTTCTTCCAAGGAGGAACCCGAGAGATGCAGAGGAATTGATCGCGGCTCACCTCAAAGTACGTGATGAAGCTCCAGACAGGTCCCTCACGTGGCRGTGCCACCGACGGATGGTTGCCTGATGTTCCGATTGATGGGGAAAGTGCCTTGCATCTTTCGTCGCTTCCCGTAGTGTCTTGAAACTTGACATTACAAGACGAATGCGATACTGGAGCAGATCTTGGGCTCCGTTTTAYTGGCAGAAGTACGGATGCTTGCACGTCGAGAGGTGCAGCGACGCACTTTCAGACCTGATGTTTGCTGTATCATTTGTAGACATTCCGCGCAAAGCTTGTCTGCCACGTCTCCACTAGAAGTAGGTTCGTAGATGCTCTCGGTGAATCGCACGGTCGTACTGTTAGGCTCAAGATTTGCGATGAGCGGGATGTCTCGATAGACGACCGGATCAGATAGGTAATGCCGAATGGTCGGTCGAAGAGGTGCGCGGCAGCATCCCGCAATCGTAGGATTGAAGGGGGTCCGAGATGGGGTGACTTCTGGCTCACGATCTCTGCTTCTGTTGGCTGGTATAGCAATGGAAGGAGGTGGCTACCGACAGAAGCATTGTGATGATAATAATAATGTAGGAGTGGCGGTAATTGTTGATGAGCCGTCCGGGGTGTTGGTGTTGTCGGCAAATCAAGCTTTCCTGTAGCGGCTCGGCGTTCACCCAGCCAATCAGATATGCGCCTCGCGTGACTTGATCTTGATCTTGACCGCTTCCACTGAACTACAAACTAAGCCTCAATTCTTCCTTCTCAAGCTTGTCTCCGACCAGGCGTGTTGGAGGAGGATACGTGACAGATCGATCCATGGGCAGCTCTCTAATCACCGGGCGTACCAACCGGGGAGATGGGATTATGATGACGACGATGATGATGATGAAGTCGGGAGCGGCGCGTCCTCCAGAATCCCAGCTCACTTCTTCCACCACCTCCACCACCATCACCACCTCCACGACAACCACCACCACTGGGACACCGTCCGCAGCAGACGCGACGCACATGGAGCCGACATCCGTCCCAAACGCGGACAATATAAAAGTTACGGGCGATCTTTGAAGATGTCGTCTCCTCTCCTATTCCAGGATCAGAGCTGCCGGAACAGGTGACGAAATGTCCCGGTGTCTAGGACCCTCCGCATGGGCATCCCCGTCGTTCTGCTTGCCAGACGCGGAACTAGGTAAGAGTAATGCCAGATCCCGTCAGCATCAATCTCTTGTTGGCTGTACAAAACAACATGCTGTCCACAAAGCTCTCTCACCCGCATCTTACTATTTCATGCCCGCTCGCATTTGAGCAGGTTTACCCCTTGTTTCACACCACCCACCATCGTTCCACGTGGTTTATACTTTGTTATCCTTGCGCGCTTTGATACATCATTATGAAGTTTCTTTCCATTGCCGCCGCGGTATCCGCGGTGTGCTCCACCCTCGTTGTTGCGCATCCCGTCTCCCACGACGACCACAGCATTCTCCGCTCGCGCCAGAGCGGCATCGTCGTCACCACCGGTGCCACAGGCGACATTCAGCCTCGCATCGAAATTCGGACCCTGAAGGACACCAAACCCGWTCACTGGATCCTTTTCATCCTCGCCCTGTCCCAATGGAAGGCTCAATCTCAAAGCAGTGCAACCTCGTACTATGGCATCGCTGCAATTCACGGCGTGCCCAGAATCAACTACAACGGTGTGGGACAGTGCGACTCGTGCATAGGAGCCGACGGTTACTGCACTCACGATTCCATCCTCTTCCCTTCATGGCACCGCGTCTACCTTGCTCTGTTCGAGCAGGAGTTCATCAAGGTCGCAAAGTCGATCGCCAACTCGTTCCCGGCTTCGCGCCGACAGGACATGGTTGACGCATCCAACCAGATCCGTTTCCCCTACTGGGACTGGGCGAAGGTGCCGCCAAAGAACCTCCCCGCGCTTCCTCTCATGATCACCGACGAAAAAATCACTGTGAACGGACCAAACGGCCAACAGACCCTCGAGAACCCGATGCTGCAATACACCTACAGCGATTCTAGCGGCATGTACTACGACCCATTCACTGTCTATGCCAAGACTGTTCGTTACCCCACCAGCAACGAGCGCGATGCGCAATCAGTGAACAGCCAGGCTGCGGACGCCATTACCAACATTCGTGCTAGCATGCAAGATCAAATCTACGGAATCCTAACCCAATGCACCAACTATCTCAACTTTGCCTACGATGATGCCGTCACCAGCAGTCCTGGTTGCTCCAACAGTCTCGAGTCAATTCACAACAACATTCACACTGCTGTAGGAGGTCCGGGCACTGACGCTGGAGTCTCCTCTGGCCACATGACTAACCTTCCCCTTTCATCTTACGACCCCGCTTTCTGGCTTCACCACGCCAACGTGGACCGTTACTTTGCTCTCTGGCAGGCCATTAACCCCGACTCGTACGGTGGATCGCAGCCTGCTCCCCACAGCACTTGGACCATCGCTCAGGACGAGGTCCAGGATGCTCACTCGAATCTGACTCCATTCTACCGGAGCAGCAACGGCAGCTTCTGGACCACAGATAGTGTTCGTGATTGGGCCAATACTTTCAAGTACACATATCCCGAGTTCTCCAACACTGATGGCAGCCGCGCCTCCATCATCAGTGCCGTCAACAAGCTCTACGGACCAAATGCTACCGCAGTCGTCAACTCCAAGCGTGAGGCGGAGGCGGAGCCACAGACGGGCGGTCTTCTGGAAGGTCTCACGCAGGACGTCAACGACCTTCTCTCAGGCGACCTCTTGAAAGCACTCAACGGCAGCTCATACGAGTACGCCGTGAATGTTCAGGCTCCACGTTATGCCTTGAACGGGTCCTACCAAATCTTCGCCTTCAACGGAAAGCCAACGACTGAAGACCCGTCATCATGGATCTTCGACTCCAAGCTCATCGGCCAAGTGGGTATCTTCTCCATGCCCGGAATGACTGACGTCAAGCTCATCACTGCTGGCYCCATCCCATTGACTCGCACTCTTCAGAGCATTGTCGGCACCGAGGGTGGACTTCTTGCCAGCCTCGCCACTCCCATTGTCGTGGATTTCCTCACCCAGAATCTCGAATGGAGAGTACAGGGTCCAGATGGTACCGCCATCGACCCGAGTTCTATTGACGGATTTGCAGTGGAAGTCGTAGCCACCACCAAGCAAGTACCCGCCAGCGATAGCGAGCTTCCCATCTACTCTGGCTTCGTTTCATTACTCGACGTCACCAAGGGACAGAGCGGTGGTGCGAACCAAACACTTCACAGCCCTACGGCCTACAAGGCCTAGGAGATTCGATCAATTTTTTTTTAGTTTTGCTGATTGAAAGTTGAGGTTGGGCATCCACCCACTTTGCTTGGCAATTGTATATAGACTAATGACCTTATGACATTTTCATCGATTGCATTATTATTGAATGGAAGGCCTCCGAGCGAAGTTCCACGAAATCAGCTTCTTGACACATTGGAGTACATACAGCGTACAAGTGCCCACACCAACGCTTTCCCATATCTAGTAAGGGAACCTCTCCCAAATTCTCAATTATACTTCAGGTGTGGCTGATGGGGAAAGGCCCACCTTGAGCCTTGCTAGGCTGCTACAAGAGTCTTACTCCGATGCGTCAAGAGGCTATAAGTGAAATGAAGACGCATGTGCCGTGCAGGTATTTTCCTAGTCTAATTGGCAACAAGACCGAACGACAGATTACCATATTCCATCGTCTCATACACTTGATCACAGTAGTATGATGTTGGGAGTCTACATCAAGTACTAAAGATTGGTATGAAGAGCTACCGGTGATGCTGAGAATTCCTTCCACACGACTGCGGTGTTTCCTTGGTTGTCGGTTGTCGATAAGAGCCTACCAGGCACGGATAAAGTGAAGGCGGGCCGAGTGTTCTCCCTTGGCTCAGTCAATCGATGCAGGGTGATCCATAGGTTACCTCGCTGATGTGATGTGGTGTATTGTGCCCTTAAGCAACCATCCCTAGGCACTTGAAGTGCGGCAGTTGTGTGATTCTGGGATGCGTTTGTATTCCAGGGTCGCCCACAAAGGCATTTCTGGCGCTCCATTCCTTCGGTCAACCGGCATGTGTTAAGGTCGCAGATTTCGCGGTGGCGCAATCAGGAGCTCCTTCGCATGAATAGCAATGTGTCTGCTTCATTCCGGTCGAAGTGCTTCGTGCCTGGAGTGCTACTGGCTGAGTGGCATCTCAGGGTCCGACCTGCCGATTCATCTGGTCTCCTCGTCGACACTATGATTGAGTTCATCCACATCCCAGCAAAGCTCACAATTCGTGACTTCGTTGAGACTTTCACCATAGATCAGGATGACCCTTCAAGATGCGCTCTTCATCGGTCTTCAACCGTCTTCATCCTCGCTTCCGCTTTCACTTTCCCGGCCCCTCTTCACACCCGAAGCGGCCGCAGCGATCCTGGCGTGCGGTCTCTGCGGTATCGGACCCTCCGCGTCTCTTCTCCTCAGAACATAACTCCTGGCCTCTCGCTCCTCACCCTTCCATCCTCCGCCACCTTCCACATTGCCCAGAGTTCTAGCATGCTTGTACCCAGGATAAGCCGCCCACTGAAATGCAAAACTCCTCACCATTTCCAGCCCTACATGTYGTGCCAAATCGCGAATGTTCCATAACGTGTATGGTTCGCCCTCAAACAATGTCACTACAATTCTCCCGTCCTGCTTCACCAGCTCCATGGCTCCCTTGAAGAACGAAACAAGCAGCTCCTGGTTGAATCGAACTTGGCGATTGACATCTGTGGACTTCCCGCCCACATGAGGGAAGTTGAAAATGATGACATCCCACAACCCACCCGGAGCTCGTGTCAGTGATTTGTACTTTGGTAACTTTGTAGCATCAATGTTATAAAGCACGATCTGGCCTTCTTCGGTGATAAAAGTGGTGTGTTTCTCGGCTTGCGGATCATATTTCTCAAAGAGAGTGGACTGAGAGTCGTAGCAGGTGGCAGTAAGATCGCAAGCACCATGATGCTCGACGACGGAGGCCGCAAAAGAGAAGTCGCCTTCGCCGATCAGAAGTATATGGTCCGTGGCTTCAAACGGAATCGTAGGTGCCGGCTTTGAGGCTTTGGGAGCAGGTTGGTTCGGCTTTGAATTGGATGGCTTCTGCGCAGGAGGACGCTTAGACCCGCCTTGGGTAGCAACCATGCGCTTCTGCTTTTTGTGCTTGGCCATTGTGATGTTGATGTAAAGTATCAAATGAGGAAGAAAAGAATGGAGTCCAAAAAGACTCAAAAGCACGGGCCTCTCTCTTTCCGTTTTCATGTGATTGCCTTCTCCGATCTCCCTCCAACCTTAACTTCACCTACAACATCAACATGGCCGCCCTTCGCAAAACGTTCCGATATCCCTCAGAAGATCTCTCCGACGAGGAGGATCTCGATGATGAACATCAAGAACGCCTCATAGAGACTCTGCGCACAACGTCCGCGGCCTCCGACGCCTTCTATCGCAAGCTCTTTCTCATCCTTCCCCTCGGCGCAGCTCTCTTCTCCATGTACACCTTTCTCATCGAGCGACGTCTCACAGCCCTGCTTAGTCTCTCCAGCCTAGCATGTACCGCCTACACGCTACACTACCTGCCTTTGTCTCCACAAGACAAAAAGGGAAAGACGGCGATGTATAAAGTCAATGCTGCAAAGAGCCCGATAGAGCAATATCTGCCTATTTTGAACGCAGGAATGGTGGGACTCTTGGTCATTGCGGGTACAGTGAGCTGGATGAGAGGGCTGGGAGAGGCAGCCACGAGAGAGGTGTTGGCGGTGATCGTATGGGCTGTTGCTATGTATGTGAGGTGGGAAGCTCGAGGTATGGATCTGGAGGAGTTGGAAGGGAGAAAGTATGGGCTCAAGGGTGCGTGAAAGGTGCATGGTGCTTGAGACTGGCGAAGGTGCAAGACTTTACGAGGAAGAGGCTACATACGGTCTCACACACGTAATGCGGTTAGTACATTCCAAGTCAAGTGGAGGTGAGCTTTGTCTCTGCGAGCCTTGGATTGATATGGACTCTCTCAGGTTCGGCTGATTGGCATACGGGGTGCCAGATAAGTTCCGCATAGACTGGTTTTGGTAAGCATAAAGTACATCCAATGCGCTGAAGTCGCGAGCCTGTGCTGTGCTGCAGTGTCTAATCGGTGTGGCATACATCGCATTCATCGGGCACAAGGCGGGAGAAAGACGATGTGGGCCACCTGGAAACGTCTCGTCAAGGCTGGATCAGGTTCATCTCGGGAGGATACATCATTTCAAACGTCACAACTGCGAACGTGACGACAGGTCGACTGGGTATAGACTGGGGCTCTCGATATTCATCAGATTATCCCGAAAGCTCTTTCCACACGATCCTAGACTTTCGAAGGCACGCAAGCTTCCCCTTTAGCAGAGTTGCTGGTCCACATGCCAGATGAACTACGTGTGTGCAATGGCGTTGTTGAAGATCTCTCACGTTTAAAGCTCTGAGTGGAGAAATCACATTCGGGCGCCGTTCGCATGTGAATGAACACGGCTTCACCATTCGAGCTTTCACCAACTCTGGCACATCGGCTACAATTTCCTACCTCAACAACCCACAACAATCATCATTCTCCCATCAGTACCAAACGTACCTTTCAATCTCTCGGCTCCTCAACTTCAACTATCAACCAACATCAGCGTTCATCATGGCTGCCTTTGCTGGAATCACTCCCCGCCACCTGGAGCTCCTCGCAGCTGTCGTCAAGAATCTCAAGTCCACCGAGGTAGACTGGGATACCGTTGCCACTGACGCCAACTACAAGACTGCCAAGTATGCTCGCGACGAGTACAAAAAGGCGCGTGAGAAGCTCCAGAATGCGGCAACATCCAGCAAGGACAAGGACAAGGAGAGCGGTGCCGGTACTGAGGAGGCTACTCCGGCTACCCCAGCAACTACTACGCCGAAGCCGAAGAAGCGCAAGGCTGGTGAGTGGTAAAGTTACATCATTTGTGAAGACGACAAGCTAACTTGGTTGCTAGCCACTGAGAAGACCCCAACCAAGGCTAAGAAGGGCAAGAAGTCTGAAGCTACGGTCAACGAGGTTGAAGACGAGGAGATTCAGGTGAAGGCAGAGCCGAAGGTCGATGACGACGATGGTGAGGATGAGGCAGGTCAGGACGAGGATGAGGGTCTGCTCTTTTGAGCGGTTGGGCGGTCAAGCTTGATGGAAGGGAGAGTCGACTGGAGCTCTGGCGGAGGGCAGGGAGGTCTAGCAAGATTGGAGATGCTGGATGGAGGTAGGATTGATGATTCTTCACCAGGCAGTCGAGACATTTTCTGCTGCTTCTATCATCAGGAAGTTTCCTTGAAGTCCGAGCATTAAGCACTCCAGCGTATCTGAGACTCCGCGATCAAGGAACATCACAAAGCTAGTGGAAACATAATCGTCCAAAAATTTGAGCAGCTCACTGGCATTGGCATTTCATTTGCTGTGGAAGAGCGAGCTCTTCGATATCGATGTGGAGTTCCTTCCACTATCCTTCCTGGCAATCCCGAGCGCCTTATTGCGCATCGCTTATGGTCATGGTAACAACCAGAACGCCGTTGCCTCGCTGCAATATTGAACTTTTGCGCATTTTCCGAACGTCGCTACATGTCTCGCTTACGCGGCATCCTCGACGACAGCGGTCTGCAGACCCTTGGGGTTCTTGACGTTGACGGCCTGAACGTAAGAGTAAAGCTTCTCCTTGGCACCCTCCTCGTCGTTACGCTTACGCGAGATGCGGACACGGAGGCGGAATGGGACACCCTTAATGCCGGCTTCCCAGACCTTCTTGTTCAACTGAGGGTCGAGGCGGACGTCGGTGGTGCCCTAAATTACCAATCAGTACCGCAATGTCAGTCGGGATGGGTGGGAATGCGACATACCATGGCCTTCTCGGCGAATGAGCGGATCTCCTTGATGGCGCGAGGCGCTCTCTTCTTGAAGCTGACACCGTGGACCTACAGCCAGGTCGTTAGACTCTCATTCTTTTTCTCAGTCTTCCGTCCGATACCACGCGCGTTCCTCCTTCCGTCGAGGAAGAAGGGTGTCCGCGCGGGCCATCCGTGGACTTCATCAAACTGAACGTACTCGCTTGTGCAGGTGGATGGTGTATTCGCGGGCGACCACATCCTCGATGGCGGAGCGGCCGGGCTTCTTCTGGGTCTGCGGCTTGGTCGACATTGTGACTACGGTGGGTGGGGGGTGAAGTGGTATCGGCGGAGTCGTTGCGCGTCTGCTCGTCGGCGTCAAAAGAAATCTCGAAGTCGGAGCTTGAATTCGAAGTTGTGCGCTGCGGCAGTCGCCGCGTGCCGCGTGCCGACGTCCGAAGAAACTCCATGCGGGTCACGCTTCTGTTTCTGTTTCTGGCGCATCATTCTGTCCAACCCTCTCCTTCTCTTTGCTATCCCTCCGCCGTATTCTCATCCATGCGCCTGGCTTTCGCGCTCTCAACTCAATGCGCCGCGCCGTGATCAAAAATCTGCGCACTTTCCGCCGCCCATCACCTCGAAACGCGCTCAAAACACTCGTACACAATGTGGTCACGACGCGCACGTTAGCCACACGAACGCTGCAACCGATTCACGCTTCGATGCGTTTCTCTCGAAGGATCTCTGTCCCAATAGGTCTCGGTGTTGGTGCTGCAGCTATATACTACGGCTACGAGCAACGAAGCGGGGCCGTCTCCTCCCAAATTCCACTTTCAACTCCGCAAGCGGCGTATACCACGGCAACCTCCCCATCGCTCTCCGCGGAAGCACCCGAAGCAGTGCGGCGGGCCCTCATCGTCGAACAAGGTCAGCTCTTCACAGCGCAGATCCCCGCCGATCAGCCCATTAGCAAGGAGACCGATCATTCAGGCCGAAAGGTATTGGAGATGTTGACACCCGAGCAAGCAACGGCGAAGCTTCGCACGAATGAAGAGAGTTATCTTGTTGGAAGAGGCGAGGGTGTTGTTCGATATGATGTAGTTCAAATACCCAGCAACGACCCTATCGAAGACGACCACGTCGAAAAGATTGTCGAAGTCCCGGGCTCCACCGCAACAGCAGCAGACGGCAAAGCCTCATCCGATTGGATGTTTTGGGGTGTATTTGATGGTCATTCTGGCTGGACAACTTCAGCCAAGCTACGACAAACGCTGGTCTCCTATGTTGCGAGGGAGTTGAACGCTACCTACAAATCCGCCCTCGCTGATCCGAAATCCACCGTTCCTTCCGCAGACGCCGTCGACAATGCAATCAAGCAAGGTTTCCTCAAGCTCGACAATGAAATTACGCATGAATCTGTGACTAAAGTGCTCAAAGCACAATCTCGCACGCTTGCTGCCGAAATTCTTGCACCCGCTCTGTCAGGCTCCTGCGCCTTGTTGGCATTTTACGATAGCAATTCCAAGGATCTTCGCGTGGCCTGTACAGGCGACTCCCGCGCTGTCCTTGGTCGTCGCGCCGCGAGCGGCAAGTGGACTGCAACCGCACTCTCCGTCGACCAGACCGGTGGTACACCTTCGGAAGATGCTCGTCTGCGTGCTGAGCACCCTAATGAGCCGTACGTGACGATGAATGGGCGAATTTTAGGTGGATTGGAGCCCAGTAGAGCCTTTGGTGATGCGATCTACAAGTGGAGTGTAGAGACGCAGCAGAAGATGAAGAAGAGCTTCTTTGGTAGGAGCCCGAGCAAACACCTCAAGACTCCACCATACGTGACTGCCGAGCCTGTCGTAACACGGATGAAGATTGAGCCTGGAAAGGGGGATTTCGTAGTCATGGCCACGGACGGCCTGTGGGAAATGCTCACAAATGAGGAGGTCGTGGGATTAGTCGGGCAGTGGCTGGAGACTCAGGCTAATGCCGGCAAGACAGGCAGCAAAAGTTCACCAGTACCTGCCGGGTGGTTGCAATCTTGGTTCTCAAGTCAGAAAGGAGGAAACCTTCCGATTGAGCACCACGATCAAGGTGATGCCTCTGGACAACGCGCGCCGGTCAGACAGCAGCAGTGGGGTGTAGAAAGCGGAGATGATGGCAGATTCGTGGTCGAGGACAAGAATGCCRCAACGCATCTCGTCAGGAACGCCTTGGGTGGGAAAGACAGAGACACGCTGAGTGCGTTGTTGACATTACCCAGTCCCTTCTCTCGAAGGTACAGGGATGATCTGACAGTGCAAGTCATCTTCTTTGGAGAGGGCGGAGAGAAGAATGGGAAGGTGCAACTCAACGGCGAAGCCAGCGCAACGAGTGTCAAGGCGGAGGGCGAGGTCAAGGCGAAGCTCTGAGGAAGAGGGATTAGTATCATTTGGTCATTGTGGAGCGTTCATTGCATAGCGTGGCGAAGGAGGTTTGTTTCTACTTCGCAACAAGAAGCCTCACACCATCTTAGGAAGCACAGTACTTGACATTTTCACGGAAAGATGGTCTACAACAATGCAGAGAGATGGGGCGATGTTATGGTTTCATTCCGTTTCCCATTCAGGTTTATCCAATCCGAGGCCGTGACCACATCTCATCGTCTAGTTGGAGTATTTCGGGTCGACCTTCTTGCCCGAGTACTTCTCATAAGCACCACGCAAGCCATCGGTGATCTTCTCGTCGGTGCCAGGTGCGAGGTCATGGCCAGACTTCTTGGTGATGGTGTCGAATGCTACCTCGACGTCAGCGACTCCATGCATGCATGTGTGGTAGTGGGAAGAAAGCGGAGGAGTTACAACGCACCCTTGTCGAGGTAATCGGGCTTGTTCTCCTGTTGAMCTTGACCCTGCTGCTGGCCCTGTTGTTGTTGCTGCTGGTTGTCGTTGTTGTTACCGCTTCCGCCGGCGCTGGCTGCTGCTTTCTTGAGGAAATCCATATTTATTGTTGGTGGTTGTGGTAGGATCTGGAAGGGTTGTGATTGAAGAGGTGGATGTTTGATTTGTTTAGAAGGGCCGAAGATAGGTACGACAAGAAGAGGCTACCTTACGCTACTTTATATTAATCCTTCTAGTCCGATGGTACGCATGACGATAAACCCGAAAAATCTCACCAATCGACACAGGGCTGTGTTGTGTACAGCCCTGGAGAGCACAGGGAGCTCGAGCTGTAACACTAACCGACCCCTCATTAAGCGAGAGTGGGGGGATGGAAGGGTCTGGACTGCGGTGAGTTGGACTTTCCAGGTTTCATCGATCCCGACGTCCCTCTGGCAATGCGACTTTGACCTCATCTCCCATTCAATTGCAGGTGAGGTGAGGTGTACCACCCGAGAATTGTTCACACGAGATGAGCAGCTGATGTCTCCATTCTATCACTCCTCTTCAATCCGCATCATTTCGACCCTCCAACTACCGCTTCGGACACATCAGACTCCATCACGAATTGTAGAGAGCGAGACTGTGCGAAACATTCCTCGTCATTCATTCACTCATTGTCGTCGTTTACGCTAAAACGCTTTCAAAATGCTCCAAAAACGCTCCAAACCGCTCCAAAACGCTCCAAAACACTCCAAAGTGCATCATTACAAGCCGAAAAGGCTCCAAAAACCTCCATCTTTCTTGGCCTCCTCTTCCGAGACCTCACTCAAGCTGAAGACGCTTTCAAACCGCTCCTCTAGTCCCGTCTCCTTTACATCGCCGGGTAAGACCCAATCGCTCTTCTTCAGCTCAAAACTCTCCGTTGGCCGTGAGAACTCCACCGGCGTTACCTTGTTTCTCATCAACTGCATGAAGTCTTTCCTCTCACTCAACAATGGCTCTGCTTTGGCCCGTTGGAGCGTCCCCTGAGGCGGATTACGCAATCTCCGCTCGAGACTCATTGGTGCCTGCGGCAATTTGCCGTAAAATGGCGAGGGACCGGGACTGTAGGCAAATTTTGAGGCGTTGTCGTCTTTGAGACGCTGTGCCTGGGAGTCCATATCACGGCTGACACTCCCCATAGCGTCGCGCATGTTATTCACACCCATGGATGGAGTGTTGGTATGGTTGTAATAGGTGTGCGATGGTTGCAGAATTGGACGAGGGTTCTGGAAGCGGGACTCGACGTAAGCTGCGTCGTCGAGCTCCATGGGATCATCATCTTCGTATCCGTCGGAGTATTCTGGGGTAAGCTGCTGCGTAGGCAGGAAAGATTTTGTGTGGCGGGAACGGAGCTCTGAAGTCGTCGTTTTCGGGGCGAGACTGTTGATATCGAATGGAGCCTGCGTAGGCTTGCGAAGGTAGCGATATGGGTCCTTTTGGTTGGCCTTTGGGGTGTGATTTATGCCAGCTGGGGCAGCATCAAGACCGAGGACCACTTTATCCGATGGTTTTGGCATCATCTTGCCGCGCATCGTCCATTTGACGGGCACGATGCTTCGCTTGGCGACGGAGTGGGTGAGGAGCGCGAAGAAGATGGTGAAAGCGTGCATGGCGATGATCTGCTGCATATCGAGGGAAGAAAGGGTCTGTGGATCGGACAGATTCCACCAGGCCAGACATCTGACGAATACAATGGCAGATTGGATGTAGAAGTAGTTCCACTGGCCATTGACGGCTTCGATACGGAGTGTATGGTGATACCATTGCTGCAGTCCTGGATTGTAAAACAGTCCGCAGATTGCGAGGGCCAGAGTATAAGGGACGTAGTCACTGAAGAGGTGGAAGCACCGGGTGGTGAAGCGGAGAGATCTGGCCTGCTGACTGCATTCCTGGATGGACGGTTTCATGTATGAGGTGATGTCAAATTCGGTTTCGGGGGCAGTTGTAGCGAATAGGGCGGTGACGATGCCGTATGCGTGAAATGTCATTTGAATGAGCAGGCCGACGTACAGCACCAGGCCGATGGTGTTGAGGATGAGTCGCATCATCTTCTTCCCGCCATCGTCGCGCTGACCAATCGGCGAGCGGCCGGCAAGGGCTGTTGTTTTCGCGCACAGCTTGCTCACGTTCTGTGTCATTCCGTAATAGTCGGCGCGGTTGATCTTGCTCTGCGCTTCTGGCGCGCAGTTGACGCAGATCAGCGGGTACCGCTCCTCCAACTCCTTCTTGTATTTGGGGATGGTGCGTTCAAACTCGGCGTATTTGGGGTGGCTCTCATCGGGCAGGTAGTTGGCCAGTGTTTCGTTGTAGAGAAGCTGGTTCTGCTGGCACGTGCGACAGAAGGCGGTGGTCTTTTGATGTTCGAGGGCTTCCGGCGCGGGGCGCGTGAAGGAAAGGAAGGGTTTGGGGTTGAGACCGTTGTGTGAGTGCGACGGGGGTGCTGCGACGTTGGCGGGTGTGTCGATGATGTTTCCCTTGCCGTCGAGGAAGTTGACGGCCTCACATGTTGCGCATTGGAACTCGGTGACCGTCTTGCGGTGGGGAGCCTTTGCGCCACAAAAGTGGCAGCGCAGGCGGGAGAACATGGTCGCGGGTGATGGTGTAGTTCGTGCTTGCTGTGGCTCGTATCTGCTGTGGTTCGTGTGTGCTGTTATGCTGTTGTGCTGTGTACTGTCGCGATGTTTTGAATGTTTCCGGGGTGTGATGTCGAGACGGATTGTTGATCGCGCGGAGTTAAGGTAAGTTGGCGGGCGGGCAGAAAATCGATGGATCGCCCGACTGCCGACATGATCCCGGCGGTAAGGCAGAGCCCTTTGACGTGCAGGAATGCGTCAGGTCCACACGTCTAATGGATCGACCTCCACATTTGTCGAGTTGAAAGTGAATGCAGCAACACCGACACGACGACATGAGAGACGCAGCAATGTCATGACTTGAGCTCCATGTCATCCAAATCCGCKAGGACTGAACATTCAAGCCCGGATCCAACATGGCCTCCTCCTCCAGACGCGGCAAAGCCCCTGCCCAAAAACGGAATCAAACAGAAACACCCATTTCCAGGCATCGACTGTCCATCTTCCTGGCCCTCTTCACTTTTCGTCTCGTCAACAGCTACTTTGTTCAGACCTCCTTCCAGCCAGATGAATACTTCCAATCGCTTGAGCCAGCATGGGACATTGCTTTCGGCCCAGAGAGCGGCGCCTGGCTGACGTGGGTATGTACGCAACACCAACTCCCAATGATACGCCTTGAAAGTAAAAAGAATATGAACACCAAAAAACTAATCGTCCGCACCTCATAGGAATGGCAATCGCATTTGCGGACCTCAGTCCACCCCTATTTCTTCGCCTCAATCTATACAGTCGCAGACAAGCTCAGCAATTTCCTCTCACTGACGCCACATTCTCGCGCCGCGGCCCTCCTCGCAGCTCCGAGAATCCTGCAAGCTTTCTGGGCTGCTTGGATGGATTTCTGCACTTGGAAGCTTGCTGCGAAACTCTATCCCGGACCGGAAGTTAGGGGAGCAGCGCTGGCCTTGACCGTGTGGAGTCCTTGGCAGTGGTTCTGTTCCACAAGGACCTTCTCCAACTCACTCGAAGCAACGCTCACGGCGGGAGCCTTGGTGTTGTTCCCGTGGAGGTTCTTTCTTGAGAAGCAGAACGAGAAGACCACTCCAGAGGGTCTTTGGTCCGCCCTGATTGCGGCTGCTGCTGCATTCTATTTCCGACCCACGAACATCATAATTTGGATCACAATCAGCGTGGGCTTGGTTTGGTGTAGTCGGAGCTTGTCTAGAGCTCTCACCCTTCTACAGTCTGCAGCCATGGTGGGCACCTGTGTCATCGCACTCTTCGCCAGCATCGACAGAGTGTACTACGCTGAATGGGCTTTTCCGCCCCTCAAGTTTCTGTACATCAATCTCTTTCAGTCTCTGGCCGTATTCTACGGCCGGAACCGCGTGGACTACTACTTCACCGAAGGCCTCCCCCTCTTACTTACGACCGCCCTCCCATTCGCCGCGATCGGCCTATGGGATGCTGTCCGTTCCGACGGAGGTGACTGGAGAAAGCAAACTCAATGGATCCTAGCAGCAGCAACATTGATCACCGTTCTATCCCTCTCCACAATCGCTCACAAAGAGATGCGATTCATCTATCCTCTACTTCCAATCCTCCACATCTTAGCCGCCCGACCGCTTGCTGCATTTTGTTCATCCCGTAACAAACAATTACTATTACTCGTTGGACTGGCGGTCAATGYTTACATCGCATACTATACCACTGCAGTTCACCAACGCGGAGTCATAGACGTCATGCACTATCTACGAAACGTCCAAGAATCACGGATGAATGATTCGGGAGCAGCGACACGATCCTTGAGCGTAGGTTTCCTCATGCCCTGCCATAGTACACCTTGGAGAAGCCACCTCGTGTACCCAGAGATCGAAGCCTGGGCGTTGACATGCGAGCCGCCCCTTGGACTTTCGATGGAGGAGCGGGAGACTTATCTTGACGAAGCAGACATCTTCTACGAAGATCCGGCGAAGTGGTTGAAAGGAAACATGGGAGAGAAGAAAAGGCCGTGGCCAGAGTATCTGGTTTTTTTCGAACAGCTCGAAGATTCCATGAAAGCGATCATGGCAAGTGATAGTAGAGGATACACCGAATGCAGGCGCTTCTTCAATACGCAGTGGCATGACGATGGGAGGCGGAAAGGAGACGTTGTGGTATTCTGCAGTGAAGCTGGAAATGGGCTTTAGTCAACGCGGGAGATGACAGGTGAGACACATTTGCCTGTCTGTCTGGTATGGGTCCTTGATACTTCCTGCTCTTGTTCGTCGCTCTTACTGACCGCTCAAATTTCCAACGGCAGGCTCATGTGCCATCCGTTTTGACAAAAGCCACCATCGAAGATATCCGCCGCCTCGTGGAAATGAGTGTTTCGCATCTTGCCCGTCAAGTCTACGTCCCCGAATTGCCATCAGCTCAAGTTTCATGCTTGCTCCGGAAAGGAAACCCCAATCCTCGACCCCCGTCTGGTACGGCGATATACAGCTATCTGTTCGCCGTTCTGCAGGAACTCAACCGGAGGCAGCCGCTGGACTCAAACTCGTCTTGAACGATACGTGTGTGGATACTACAAAAGTGTTGACAGTTCTTGACTAAGACATTCGCCTGAAGTCCTGGACTGATTCCTGCCCGATCTTCACTTCCGTGAAGAGCCGGAGTAGCTTATCCCATCGTGGCTGTTGACCCTCGTCGTCCAAGATTTGCTCATAGCTCGCCTGTCCGCTTTTCGCTGCTTTTGGTGCTGGGCGGACGGAAGAGTGAGAATCCGAGGTGGAGGATCTTCGGTTCTCCAGCTTCACCCTGGTAACCTGCAGGGGTCTTTTGGACGTCGCCTCTCTGTCACCTGTCCTGACCTGGAGTTATGGTATACGTTTGTCCTGTTCTGGAGAACGCCCGAAGTGTTTGGCAGGCATGTAGCTTATACTGCCCCCAGTTGTCGATTCCGTCGATGCAGAGCGATTTGAAAGTGTGACACGGTTCAGGACGCGCGGATTTGATCCGGGGCCCTCAATGCCGTTGAAGACACTCCACCGGATCGTGCCCGTCGCTTCAGCATTCCAGTGGGAGAGCTTGGTCATGGTCATGCTTCGCAAGRATGGTGGAAGGATCAACAGCTCCACTTCGCAACACGTGCCTGTCACAGGCTGTATCGGGTACGATCCAGAAGATCTCCTTTTGGCTTTACAAGGTGCTCTGAGAGCTTCAAAAACAGATCATCTGCTTTCCTGCGCAGGCACTTCAGTCCTCGTTGACGGCATTCTTCATCGGACTATTCCGGGGCCTTCACGACGCCCCCGACTTCATATTCCACTGTAATGGCGTCAATGAGGCTGATGATCGTGCGCACGGGGTAGCTCTTAGTCCTTGGACATGTCTCAAGCGCCATTGATTCCTTGGGCTCCCACTTGGCTACATTCCAATATCTCAAAATGTGTCAAACTACTGCCGCGGGGTTGATGCGAGCCAAGAGCGCCGTTCGTATTCACTTGGAGTTCCATAACGAGACACAACGCAGTATCGCACCTTAGCCCAAGACTACAGGCTCTAGCTGACCAATTTCGCATTTCAGCACGCAACGTGGCGCCGTTCACTGTCGTCAGAACCGCGAACATGCCCTTGGCATAAACGGTGACGTGCCCAGATCGTGGACTAAGCCTAGACTCTGGCTTTAAACTCTAACGACACCCGCCAAGTACAACACCTACTTGGCGCATAACAGCAAAGTAGCGTTCCCTCTTAGGATCTTGGTATCCCTATTCGAATGACTCTAAACCAAATTTCGACACAAGCTACTGAACTTTGACAAGACATGTTCTTGGAAGTAGCGGAGCTGTGGTTCTGGTCCGCCTTACCTGCATGCTGACTCCACCTTCGACATTGGCGGCTCTTTGCCCAGCGTTTCTGTGCAAAGAGCCGGTAATCCTCAACCGGAAGCCCTTATTTCGATGTCGCAAGGATGCTGCGCCCAGCATGCCAAACACACGACGTCGGGTCAACTCCTTGCCGGCTGCAATGCCTGCGTTTCCAGTCTTGGCTCTCGGGCTTAGCTTCGAGTCAGCTTAATGGAAATGAGACCATGGGTGATCGTCATAGCACCCGCCAAGGACGACTCGCCCAGCATTATGCCATGCTGGGGGGCCAGTCTGTCGGCGACGAATCTACACCCCTTGGAAGAAGGATACATAAGTACTGCGTCGTCCCTTGCTCATCGTGTTCCTTGTCATCAGCATCAATCACATCAACCCACTATCGTTGAACATTCACCACCTAGAACATCCATACAATAATTCATAATGAAGTTCTCCATCGCTGCTCTTTCCCTCATCTCGGCGGTTGCCATTGCAGCGCCAGCTGCGACCACCGACTGCGAGGAGGCCCCGGCCACCTACCCAACCAAGGCTCCCGAGCCACCAAAGTACGAGACACCAAAGAAGCCTGCTGAGGAGTACAAGCCAGCGCCTTACYACCCTGCTCCGGAGGTATGTGAACACATCATCCACGTGATTCACGATTCTAACAATCAACAGGAACCCAAAGACTGCCCTAAGCCGTACGAGAAGGCCGACTTCCCCAYCCCATTCACCTCCAAGTTCAGCATCATCGCCACCCCAGACCAGGTCGTCCAGAACAACGCCTCTCTGACCAATGCCTTCACCGGCGGTCTCCCCGGCGCGATTGGATACTACGACTTTGGCCTGAACTCCGATCTCGACTTGATCTGCTACAACATCAAGATTGTTGGCTTTGAGGGCGACTACCAATCCCCAGCTTCCACCGCCACTCACATTCACCAGTCTGCTGCTGGTAAATCTGGACCCCCACGGGTCGCTTTCCCCAACCCAATCCCAGTTGAGGGCACCAATGAGCGCGTCTCCGTCGGATGCCTTCGTGGACCTTTCCTCACCGGCGTGATTGCCAATGCCACCAACCCACTCAACCCCAACGGAATCAACCAGGACACTGGTGTCGGTTTCACCATTGCCATGCTCGAGGCAAACCCATCTGCGTACAACGCCGACATCCACTCCAGCAAGGCTGTTCCTGGCGCCGTCCGTGGACAATTCCCTAGCGCTCCCAACTACTAGATTCGAGGCTTGGAGGGAATGAAGACGGAACGAGAGCATCATCATCATCGTGAAGGTGTTGTTCAAATTTTCTAATGTTAATACATTCATGAACCATACATTTTGATCCACAGGATATTTACGATAAACATTTCAACACTCAACCTCATCCCACATCTGCAAGTGAAGCATAAGGTACTGTCATTCCAGTCAAGAAGCAGCTCCCGCCTTTTTCGACTCTGTGACATTCCAGGCATTGAGTGGATTCCGAAAGATTTGTTTGCCAAGGATGTGTTCGTATTGGCAAGAATGCGAGTTCCAGAATGTACCTTTGAGGAAGCTATGCACGTGCAGCACTGACTCGCGTATTGAGCTGTAGTCTCTACTCCGTTGTGTTCTGTACCGTGCAAAGCACCTCGCTCCGCGGAGGCGGCATCGACTTCTCCGTCAAGCCGTGGGGAAGTCGTCAGAGAGACAGAATAATAAGCAACTGTCAAGCTGTGTCCCCGCCCACCTTTGTGCTTCCTTCGGGTCCGGCACCATCAAACACGACGCGCCAAGACGAACGGAATGGTCGCTCTTCCCTCCGATGTTTTCAGAAGGTGCGAAGTGAATAATGTAGAACTGTCGAGGTCGAAAGGAGACCACGTCCGATGCATGTCGGGTAGGTCGCTCCACACAAAAGGAAAAACTCCGTTGAAAGACCGAGTTATACTGGGGACTATGACGCGCTATTGCAGCATGTGATTKACGGAGCTTGGAGACCTCCGCTTCGTGGATCGTTCTTTCCCGCCTTCCCTTCAACATCAACCGTCAATGGCAGCGAGACGCTCATCGCGGGTACTCCGCGTGCTGGGCTATGCAGGAGCGGCGGGTGGTGTGACGGCAGCCGGCCTTTACTATGTGTATCGGCCGCGATCCATTCCGGTAGGAAAACTAGAGCATTTCATGTATTCTCGGGRGACCGCGCTGACTTGCACAACATAGGGATTGGATGTTTCCGTTGCGCCTCCTCCTACATACGGACAAGGAAACACCTTCACTCCGCCGCATTTCCCTCACATCAAGACGAGAGAAGAGCAGATTGCGGATCTGAAAGCTAGTGCAGGAGCTGCTTTCCAGCAGGCAAAAGACAAGATCGCTGGAGCTCTCGGTGGCGAGGCGAAGGAGGATCGCAGCGCTGAATATGATCTTTTGATCATTGGTGGCGGCGCCACCGGCACAGGAATCGCGCTCGATGCAGCATCCCGAGGACTCAAGGTTGCTCTGGTCGAGAGGGACGATTTCGCGGCGGGCACCAGCAGCAAGAGCACGAAGCTCGTACATGGAGGTGTGCGCTATCTCGAAAAGGCCGTCTGGGAACTGGACATCAACCAATACAACCTCGTCAAGGAAGCTTTGCGTGAACGCAAATACTTTCTCGACACGGCCCCACATCTCTCCCAATGGCTTCCCATTATGATTCCCGTCAACAAGTGGTGGCAAGCGCCCTACTTTTGGGCGGGAACCAAGGCTTATGACTTCCTGGCTGGCTCTGAGGGTATCGAAACTTCCTACTTCTTGACTAGAAGCAAGGCTTTGGATGCATTCCCCATGCTGAAGAGGGACAACCTTGTTGGCGCGCTGGTATACTACGATGGCGCTCACAACGACTCTCGCATGAATGTCTCACTCGCAATGACTGCTGCTCTCTATGGCGCAACTCTGGTCAACCACATGGAAGTCACCTCGCTCGAAAAGGATGCCAATGGCCGTCTCTGCGGAGCTCGGGTCAAGGACATGATTCCGGAAAGAGACGGCTCCAAKGTCGAGGAGTTCACGATCAAGGCAAAGGGAGTAATCAACGCCACTGGACCATTCACTGACTCCATCCGCAAGATGGACGATCAGGAGGTGGCCGAGATTGTAGCTCCAAGCTCTGGAGTCCATGTCATCCTTCCCGGCTACTTCTCACCTTCGAACATGGGATTGATCGATCCGAAGACTTCAGATGGTCGTGTCATCTTCTTCCTTCCATGGCAGGGAAACACCATCGCCGGAACCACGGATGCTCCTTGTGACATTGCACAGAACCCGATCGCACAGGAAGAGGAGATTGAATGGATCTTGAAAGAGGTTCAGAACTACCTCCAGCCTGAGATTAATGTTCGTCGCGGTGATGTCCTCGCAGCTTGGTCTGGTATTCGTCCTCTTGTTCGTGACCCCAAGCAAGCCAAATCTGAAGGTCTCGTCCGCAACCATCTCCTCACCACTTCCGACTCTGGCCTACTCACCATCTCCGGCGGCAAATGGACCACCTACCGCCAGATGGCCGAGGAAGCTGTTGACGAGTCGCTCAAGGAATTCGGATTGAAGGCCAGCCCACACCCCAACCGACCTCTCGTCAGTGGTGTTGAAGGTTTCCAAGACAACACCACTCTTGATGGAAGCTGCCAAACTCACGCGGTCCGTCTGATCGGAGCCCACGGATTCTCCAAGACCCTCTTCATCAACCTGATCCAGCACTACGGCATCGAAACCGAGGTCGCCAAACATCTTACTGAGTCGTATGGTGACCGCGCCTGGACTGTCGCAGCGCTGTGTGCACCCACCAATGCCCGTTTCCCGGTGCGTGGTGAGCGTATTTCAGAGTTGTACCCCTATGTGGATGGTGAGGTTCGCTACGCCGTGCGCCATGAGTACGCGCAGAGTGCTGTGGATGTCATTGCTCGCCGTACGAGACTGGCATTCCTCAACGCTCAAGCCGCACTTGAGGCAYTCCCTCGAGTCATCGATTTGATGGCCGAGGAGTTGAACTGGAGCAAGACGCGGAAGGCTGCTGAGTGGAAGGACTCTGTTAGCTTCCTCGCTTCTATGGGATTGCCAAAGCACAAGTTGAGTCTAAGCCGCGAGGATGTTGAGAACGGTCGCGTTGGTCAATACACCGATGAGGAGTTTGGCCTTTATGCTCGCCATGGTAAGATTGATGAAGTACCGCGTGGAATGACATGTGGCTAACGGCATACCCTCCAGACAAACCTGACGAGGTCCTCAACTCCGACATCAAGACCGTTTCCAAGGGCACAGGTAACCCCACCTTGGGCAAAGACTCGCCTGCAAACGCTTGAACGTGGCGACTTGCTTGTCAAACGATTGGTCCTACGGTACTGGAGAAGTGATCCCGACTCGGGCCTGTTCATGTATGTAAAGTGTGTTGAATAGAAAGGCTGATTCCAGGAACCCTTTCTATCTGAATGTGACGATAAACTGCAAGCAGTCTGTTGAGTGTTGTGTAACTTGTGTCGTGTTGTGTTGTTGTGATGCTCAGTGAAACAATCTTCAGCCGAATTGGAATGCTTGCAGCTCAATGACTTGTTGCTTGTTTCACCAATATTATTATTGCTGTACATTGATCTCTCTCGTCCGAGGTAACTACAGCTTCTTACAGAGTATGTGTTCCTGTCCTGTCATCTTGGTACTTGGTGCACACATGGCAATCCAGGAACTGTGTTTTGTGGTTATGGTCCCTGAACGGTCAGATTTCCAAGCCATGGTACGTATAATCGCGATGCATCCACATGAGCTAGTTGACTGTTTATGCCTGACAGAGAGAGCWCATGCTGATCTGCCTGTGACTCTCCACCCTGACTTCACATTATTGATGATGTGCCCTACTTCATTGACGACGTCGACTCCACGCGGAACGTCATCAAGTGCCGTGGCCGGTTCGGAGGGCGCAAGCCACTCCTCCTTACCGTGACGGGCCGTTGCACGCGGCGTGAACGGTGCTGGCTAGTGGCTTCAGCCCATGTTTCGATGTGTCTTTCAAGTTTGCCTGCTGGGCCGTTTGTTGAAGGGTCATGTTGACAAACCAACAACTAAAATCACTGTCAAACTTGATATACACAGCGAAGCTACTCAACATCGATGTGATATCAGGTAAATGTCAGCATGCCCCATTCTTTCCCCCGACTTCCTTCACATGCACAAGCCCAACGGTCGCGAGAAGATCCCGAGAGAGCTAGGGCACATGTAGGGGAGAGCCCAAAATAGGCTCGCGCTTGATCATGATCCTGGTCGAGTTTCTCGTACTGGCCTGGGCCACGCAAGCCGTGAGTACCACGGAATCGCCCACAATTCTCACCTGCTTTCTAGAACTACACCAGCTTACTTACACTCGTTGACATTTCTTTCCTTTGGTATCCCGTTTCGCTGCTGCATCTTAATCTTCCCCTTTAGCCAACGGCATTGGAGCATCCCCGGGGCTTTTAAAGAAGAACTGCCGACAACCTTTCCTCTCCAACGGTCGTCGTCTGTTTAGCACGACTCAGGCGGCCCAATTAGGCCTCGCGGCAGAAATTACACATGTTTCCGCAGCACTCGAAGCATCCCGTCCTCATGTTTTCCTTCTTCTTTGGCTTCTCGCAAATCGGCGCCGACTCCATTCCCGCAGGCATCATCCCCAAACGACAGGTGGTGGGCACAGGAGTGACCTCTTCAACCAGCGAAGCACCGACCGCCAGCGAAGAATCATCCACCACAATGTCCGCCACGTCCGCAGATCCCCCCACCACCACGCCCACAGCATCCTCTGAGCAGGAGTCGACGACAGCGGCGCCGACGACACCGACATCCTCCGCCGACCCCACCCCTACAACCTCCGATGAGGTGACCACTCCCACCTCCGAAGCGTCGACATCCGAGCGAACATCCACCTCCGCAACAGCCACGAGTGTGGAAATCACCACCACCAATAGTGCAGGATCCACCGTGACTTCGAGATCCCGAGTAACCAGCGCTACCTCGTCAGATACATCGTCGGCTGTCGTGGTGGTGGGATCCGAGACGATCAACCGCTCCACCCTCAAATCAGCGACGGTGGTCAGGTCCACCTTGTTTCGTTCATCCACCGTCCAATCCACCTTCACATCCTTCTCCACCGCCGCGGATGGCTCCGTTGCAAGCTCTGTCATCACCTCCCAAACAGTACAGTCCGAGGCCACGGGAGTTGCAACCTCCACAATCACTCCTTCACTTCAAAACAACAGCGGCGGAAGCGGCGGTCTTTCCTCTTCAAGCAAGAGCATCATCGGTGGAGTTGTTGGTGGAGTAGGTGGAGCCATTCTGATTGGTGTCATTGCATTACTCGCATGGCGCTTCTACGGCAAGAAGAAGCGTCAGCAAGACGCCCATAACAGCTGGGTGGGAAGCACGCCGGTGGACACGGCGCCCAAGGAGGAAGAAGGAACGGGTGCAGAACGCTACCACAACCCGAACGGTGGCGTGAATACTGCCAGCAACTTTTGAGCGGGCCGGTATGATTTGGGAGGGGAAAAAGTCTGATTGTGCATTTTTTTGAGCGTGATGACGGAACGGACACACTACATTGGAGCGGCGTTGTCATAGATCTTGCCTGTCTCTCTTGAAATGAGGGCTTTGGAAATTGCATTGGGAAATGGGTGTTGAGATTCATATGGGTTTGGGGAGTGGGATGGAGAGTGCATGGGCTTGAGGCGGCGAGGTAACGCTGTGTCTATAACGTAGCTAATGTATTGACAGACTGACTGCACTACCGCGGCCGAATTGGTTGTTTGTTGTGACATCTCTGGAATGAGACTTGGGGCAATCCAGTGGTATTATCTCCGGAACACGGCTAGACACTCTGCTACCCGGCTTGCTGTTAGGTCATTCGAGTAGTGGCAAGTTATAGAGCGGTATAGTAAGACTCCTTTCTCTAATCGGGAATAAGCAATAACACGAGTCGCTATAAAATGGGGGAAGGGAAGGAAAAGGTTTTCATTTCTGGCCCGAATGTCAATATTTTCTGATGAAAGTATGTATGTCTATTCGATGCAAAGTAAGTGATGATGCTCTTGGAGAGTTGATAGAGAGCAGCGAACTCCTTGACAAACCGTGCATCCTTTCCAGAAAACAATCCGCATCCTATATGCTAGTGTATCGACCGGGCGATCATTTTCCTAGCTATCACATGTAAAAGACGATGCGAATAGCGAGCCAAAGTTCCGGACGGGGATGTCGAAATCAATCATGAATATCATTAATACATAACACAGTGCATGCATGACAATCATCGTCCACCACCCTCATCAGATTTCCCCTTACTTTCCTTCACCACACTCTCGCCACTTACACTCTGCCCATCAAGAACCTGCCCTTCAGCAGCCTCATCCTTCTTAGAATTCTTCCCCGTGAGTTTATCAACCCAAGACTGCAGTGGAAAGATCTGTCCGGACTTGCTCGTGGGAGCCGGACCGATAATTTGATAGGGTTCCTCGCGATCGCGATTCTTGGATGCATCAATGTATGCGTTGCCTGCTAGACGTGCTCGTGCGGCTGCTTCTGAGGGCATGGCGTGCGAGTCGAGGACGTTGGTGTTTGGGGGGAAGGCGAAGGGGGAGGTGTTCCAGTGTGTGTTGTTTGCCATGCCTGGTGGGATTGGGCGGGAGGATTTGGGTTCTATTGGCATGGTTGCTGTTGTATGATGTCGGCGAGGTTATGGGGTTTTGTGGTATAGGCAGTTTTGGCCTTGGCTGGAGACTGAAGCTTGGAGCTGACGTGGTGGTGGTGTTGTGCTTGGCTGGAAGGCTACTTCTTCTTTCTTTCTTTCTTTCTTTCTTTCTTTCTACTTTGTTGCTAATTACGTGCTTTGTCGTCGATACTTGTATAGTGTCGTCACCCTTCTGATCAGCAGATCTGATGAGGCGCAGACGGTACGGTAATTCTGGCCCCCTCGAAGCGAAGGATGAAGCTTCGAGAGTCGAAGATTTCGGGTGGAGGCAGTGTAAATAAATGCATCATGCGGGTCACATGCCACACCACGTCCCGGGTGTCTCGTGCATGCTGTACCGACGAATGAATGGGCTGGCAATGGTCCCGTTAGAGGCCAGTTCCAGCGTGGATGTCGCGTGTTGGTGCTGCGCCTTCCTTCGTTCGTCATGCCGGTGGCATGAGCTGGAGCTTCCAATCGTCCACTACCCGTAACTCAACGTTCGTCGAGTACAGACAGTACTTCGGTGAAGTCAGCCGACGAACACTAACAAAGCCAGGCGGAGAAGGAGCTAGGTGTAACACTGCTCGCGTGCTGCTTGCTGTGGCTGTGGCTGTGGGAAGAAACAAGCCAATCTCAATCAAGAGCGCCGCCGATGTACTTACAGGATCACTTTTTCCGGTCAAAAGTCGCGTCAGGTGCTGGTGTTAGCTCATACAGAGCTGGACTCACATCTCTTTGTGCTGCTTAATGTGTAGACTACAATTCTATCGAGTTTGCCTCAGACGCCGCTTTGCCAGTTCTCAGTTTGAAGTAGGCGTCTTGTCGCGAACTCTTCCAAAACATCATAGTCAACGATATTCCGTTGTCATGTATCGCACTGTGAAAATTGCATCCCATTCCATCGCAAGAAGGATTGTGCCTTGCTTATAGCGAACGCAAAACGCAGCAAGTACAAGGAGAAGGTCGGCATCGACAGCATGTCCACTACCCCAACCCTGACCCTAAGACGAATCACACTAGCTGTGTGCTAGAACCCCGCAGCTCAAAGTTCAAAGGTTCTGCCTTTTGCACCGGTAGGGAAGGTAGGTCTCTTTACCATTTATGCTGCTTTCTGCACGTTGTCTCGTTCGTCCACATCGTCGAAAGCTTGAACCCATTTGTTTCTCGTATGGCTCTACACTGTTCAGAGAGGTCTACACTAAACGCTCTCCGATTTGTAATGCGAATCTTGTCGGAAGAAAATCTTGTCTTGGCACAACAGAAGCTAGCTTCGGACCGAGTTTCGATTTTACCAGTTGAGATAGCGTCAAGAGCTACTACCCTCGGCCATTTCTTCGGCACACACTGCATTGTCACTCTTAGGCAGTGTCCAATTTTCATGCTCCATCGACATGAAGCAATTCATGGCGATCCAATAGGACAGATGGCCGAGCGGTCTAAGGCGCCAGCTTAAGGTGTTGCATTATTGATGGTTCTTCCATTGATGGACATGTTAATTCGCTGGTCCGAAAGGGCATGGGTTCGAATCCCATTCTGTTCAACATCATTTTTTTTCGCTGGCTTTGCCGATGTTGTGGTGTGGTCGTTATACGAAAGGAAATCAATTTTGGCCGTGTGGGGCCGAATTTGGCATTTTTGATCGTTTTGTCATGACCGACCATAATAAGGCTTTCTCTGTAGTTGAAGAAGAGCATTCTGGAGATGCTGAGTTGGTCACTTTTTTCCCAGGGGGAGAGGTTGATGTGGAATACCCTTATTATTGATTTTCAGGTTGCACACGCTAAATAAGGCCGTCAAACTCGTAGATATCATCGCTGAACTTGTCGCGACAAGAGTACCTGCTGAGCTAGAGAGTATGTATGCCATTGCAAAATTTTGAGTGTTGTGTCCTAATGCGCTTTGAGTGTCGCGAACGTGTCAGAGCTCAGCGTACTGGCATTTCTGAGGAGTTCAAGGTAGGTTCTACGTCCGATTCTTTGTATGTCCTACAGTCTGGATGAGAAAACGCTCCCTGCTCGACCATTGTACCGCTATGCTGCTGTGGTTAGTGCTGGCCGTCTCAAAGTGGAGGAGATGAAGGAGTGCTAGACTCCAGGGTAATGACTGAGGAGATTTCTTGATCAGTCGTCAATATCGGCATGAGATAGAGGGCGGTAGACCATACGAGACAGGTAGTGTAGAACCCGCCATGTTCTAACGGAAAGCCAGATATGTTGAAGATTCGAGAATATTCACTAAGAGGTTTCATTCACCTACTTGCTTACCTATCTGACGAGTGAATGGCAACCCCTATATATACATTCACTAGCTCAGTAGGTAGAAGGTTCCTTATTACGTACCAAGTGAGTGAGTCCTTCCAAGTGAATGTTCTCGAATATTCAATATAGTACTTTGTACATCGGGTGTAGCGGGAGATGCGGCTGGCGGTATGTGATCGCCTGTCTTTTCTCTTCACTTTGACTGACACAACTATCTAGTCTTGCATACCATATCTTTAACATCGTCAATACGACAGCAGAATCCCATAAACATTTCTACAGCTTGTGCAAGGAATGGAAAGACAGTCCCAGAAGCATACAAGCTCGCCACGACAGACGTAGACGACGAAGCTGGTTTCCACTGAGCTCATCGAGACCCTCGCTATCCTCGAAACAAATTGCATGCAGTCGACACAGAAGAGCTTCTCATCAATGGCCATGATCAAGGTACGGAACCAGGGTAAGCCCAGAGCTGTCGATATGAGGATTATTCATCGGGGGCAAGACATCCTCAGTCAAGCTAGCAACATCCTAAGGCCTCGCTCTCTGCATGCTCGACGATTCTAGGCCTGCTAGAACCCTTGCCAGTACTAGAGTTGCTAATCAATCAGCCGAGAGAGCATTTCAGGGCGCTGGTCTTGTTGATGACTTCTCATATCGACAGCTCTGGGGGTAAGCCACCAACGCAGTTCGAGGCGACAAACCACGCGTTGCCAGTCAACCAACCAATCCAAACTCGAACTCTTGCAGCACATTCCGTCGAGTGTCGACACTGCAATTTAGACATCACCGTCAAAGACTACACACCAATCACCTCCTCGTCGAGCATCAAGACGATGCAGCGACCCTCGCCTGCCCAAGATGTACAGATGAGAAGTGGAGCATTGAGCAATTGACACCGTATGTTACACATGTCAAGAAGTACAGAAGTCACATCTGTGAGGCATGCGGCCGAGGGCTGGGAAAATTTCAGGCTTACCAGCTCTCCTTTCAGTCAAGCAACGACCACGCTCGTGGACAGGGAGGTACAACTACGAAAGCAAGCGACGTTACGGAGAGCTAAGTTTTTGTCAAATATTGTCTTCTTAGGCTCTGATAGAGAGGACAAAAGTCTTCGATTACAGCAGGTAGGGCGGCAACCTTCAGTTTCACTGGTCTTTGGGTAGGGGATTCCAGACAAAAGTCGACCTCAACGATCACTATCTTTGGGAGCACGCAAACGAGCGTCCTCATACATGCGAGACATGTGGTCTGAGTGTCCGATCTCTCTGCACGCTTCGCACACACACATGAAGACACACCTCTCCCTATCGAGGAGCAGCTGTTCTACTTCTGCACCACATGCTCGAAGGGTTTCAAGAACGAGGATGCTCTACGGAGACATGTCGACACTGGCAAGATCTCATGCGACAATTACATGAGAGAGACAATCTTCGCCGAGGAAATCTACCCTCACGACCCAGAGGGACAAGCAGCCAAGGCTGCCATCATGGGCCTCCCTCATATCAACACTGGTGAGAGGAGGTCCACTGGTGGCAAGGAGCATGTTCGACGCTGCACTGGCTACCTCGGGTGCACGAATGCTGGTCAGCTGCATAAAGACAAAGGGGGCAAGAAAATCCCCCATCCACAATGCACCTTCTGCTGGCTCATCTTCCCCATCTTCAAATCCTCAGTAAGCGTCCAGCCCCTCGTCACGGCACATATGGCCATATGCGAGCGAAGACACCATGGCATTGCTGAGCCGTCACCACCATTCCCAAAATTTGCGACGGCCGACAACATCGGTGTTTGGGTTGATCCAAAGCAGGTATATCATTTCGTTCGCACTAGATCACATCAATACACACTCAAGGCTGGTAGCTGTCGGCAGCTCCCTGTGTCACTGATTCTTAGCAGTGTAGGTAGGGAGATTCCCCTGAAACCGATCGAGGGGAAGTAGATTGAAGATGTGATTCAGTCAGGGGGGAGTGTTGGCTGTGGACTCTTCTCACACCTTCGATAATGGTGTGTTTGTTATACGTAGCAAACATCCCCCAGACTCTAAAAGGGGCTGCAGGGTTCGCGAGTTAGGAGGCAGCTAAAGTTTTTCTTATAGACCGATCCAACTCCAACATATACAAACCCTCGACATCAACCACAATGGCACAAAAGAGGCAAGGAGAAGAATGGCGCGACGTATTATTCATCGTGAGTACAGCATACAGCCATGCTTGTATCTGCGCTGACATTCGATAGATCAGCATCTTTCTATCGGATGTCTCAGCTGTGTGCTCGGAGTTCAGCAGGCCATGAAGGCCCGTGTCTTGGCAGCACACCCAGAAGTGGTCGTCAAGGAGCTGCCCTACCAACCCGGCATCGAGTGAGCCAGCATGCACCACCTATATATATATATCGGTGATTTGAGAACTAAAGATCAAATAGATTCGCCCTTCCCCACGGCACGGCCAACCCAATCGTCAACGACGATCCAGCATGGAGGGACGTGGAGTTGGACGCGCGCAAGATCAACGGCACGAAGGAGGTCAAGAAGGCGAGGGGTGCGGGGGTCTCGACCGAGACCAACGGTCCACGCAGTGAGCACGTGCGCTAATCGCGCCTTGTTGGATGAGACAGCGGAGTAGGGCTATGTGCAAACTTGCATAGTTTATTATAGATGGACACACAAAATCACAATAGCTTTACTTGACYTTTTGTCTGAGGGCCCCCTTTTTCTTTTGCTTGCCTGAGGAGACATTCGATAATGGAGACATTCTGGAGGCAATATGAAGGCATGAGCTGGATATGAGCGATGGATCTGGATCTGGGATGCTTTGCCGCGTGGTGACCGGCTATCTACCACCAACAGCTCGCCAACGAATGACCAACGCGACCCCTGAATCTCCATCGTACTTGCGTCGAATGATCCCCTCAAGCCACCTTAGCCGCGCATGTAACCGCTCTGTTGACCAGTCTGTTGTTGCGTGTAGTGTAGCGTTGAGCCACTGTCGTGTAGGCAGAAAACATTACGCCGGCGTTGCGGTTTCAAATTGGAGACGACGCAAWGGCCGTGCTGCGGGTCATGCGGGTGCACAGAAGGATTCATATGCAACGTATTTCTTCAGCATACGACGTTCTAGGCCWGGTCGGCAGACACGCCAGTAACTGTACTGCWGTCCACTACCACCTCTTTCAACAGTGAAGAGCTCTTCCACCCTCCACCACACCATGCGCTTCCTCCACGGTGTTCATGGCGCGGGGGCCATCTTGAATGGCGAAGATCTTGCTCGACGCCCAAGAAAGATTCACAATCACTGCTTTCGCGTTGACCACCGCGGCGTTGGCGCGGCGGAGGGCCCGGGCAGCGCAGCGCAACGCCTGGCTCTGGCTGAGCCGATGGCTTTGGCCTAGAAGCAGTTAGAGGTGAAGAGAATTCACCTTGTCGTTGGCCTGCATGGCCTTTCGCTGTTCCTTTTCAACGGCGCGAAGGTCTTGCTAGCAAACGTCAGCAGTGGTAATCAGCGAACACAGAGAGGAACACATACGCGAGCGCGGCGGCGAGCTAGCGTGACGAGGTAGCCGAAGCTGGGTGCGTTTGGCGCCGCTGTGGCGGCTGTGGTTGGGGCAATCAGATTGGTGGAGTGGACCATGATGATGTGTGAGGAGTGATGATGATGTGTGAGGAGTAATGATGTGTGAGGAGTGATGATGTGTGAGGAGTGGTGGTGTTAAGGAGTGAGGAAGAGCGGCGCGGAAAGAACATGGTGCTGCCTATATTGCTCTTTCATTCACGGTGGGATGTGAGAAATAGGTCACAATAGTAGCATTTTATCGTTGCGTGTAGTGCTGCGCAAACGCTCAGGTATGTTAGATGGCTCCAAGGGCCAGTGGAAYTGAAGATTGCCGCCTCTCCTTGTCGTGAAACGACAACAATGCTTGCGAACAGGTGGCTAGAAGCACAAAAAGGAGTAGTAGCCTTACGGAGAGCTAAATATGGAGGGATGAATGTCTTGTCGAATGAAGACTTCTTAATCGTGCCGTCGTTGTCTCGTCAATGCTTCTGTCCAGATCATGTTCATCGTAGCCTCGTCGATGCTTCTGTGCTTCTCCATCTCAGCAAATATCGCCTTGACGAGAGCGTCCAGGAAAGCAAGGGGAAATCCTGATGGCGTTGGACGAGAATCGTGATGCACTGCGTTATGTATTGATGATGTCCATAATTGATTCGATACCCGGCCACAACTAGGCTCAGGCAAGGAGACGAACCATCCCTCTCATCTTCCACATCTACTACATATGATAACTAGGAACATGATCCCCAGTAGAAACACTAGGAGGCAAATCCTCCATCCTCGTCCCCCACGAACTCTCATTCCTACCCAAAGTAAGCTCCAAGACGCCTCCGTCCATGAAGAAGCTATGCGTGAAGTAGTTTTTGGTATACGCCTCTCCATCCAGTGTAGCGCTCTGAATGTAAATGTTCTGATATTCAGGATCAAAGTTGACGTTTCGAATCGTGGCTTTCTTGCCGGTAAGTTTGTTCGTTACACTGACTTCCTCGAAGAAGGGAGGCGTGATGAAGTATACGTCTTGTCCTGGGTTGGGAAAGGCGCCCATCATAGTTAATGCAACGAAGGAACCCATTGCTCCGCTGTCGTCATTCCCTGGGATGCCGTTGATGGTGTCGTTGAATTGCGATGGGATGTAGAAGTGGGCTCTCTCGGCGGATTTGGCGGGTCGGCCGGCGTAGTGGTATTGGAAGACGGGTAGGAATGCCTGCTCGTCACCGATATATAGCAATCCCGGGAATTCATGTAGGTAGTCGAGACGGCTCACAAATGTTGATGGCCCACCCATTGTTCCGATCAGGCTGTTCATGTCGTGAGGTACAAAGAAGGAATACATCCAGGAACTTCCTTCATACGTCTCATGTCCATCGGGATTGAGGTAGCAAGAAGTGAAGTTCATGATGAGAGAACAGAAGATTGGATCCTGGAAGCCAAAGGTGCCGTTGAGGTATCTCGGCATCAGGAATCCAGTGAAGCCAGTATCGGTACCATTGATCGAAGAGTTCTGGTCTGCTTTCCACATGTTCTTCCAGTACTCAGATGTTCCAATGTACTTCTCGTAGTCATCCATTTTGTTCATACCACGAGCCATCTCCGCGATACAGTAGTCGTCATAAGCATACTCGACGGTCCGGCTGATACTCCTGGTAAATGGTCCTACTCCATAAGGATCGAAATCATCGGTGGGAATGTAGTTGAGTGTTTTCCAGCTCAGCAAACCACCACGTCCCTCAACAGACCAGTTTGATGGCTCCTCCTCAGCATCTTTGACCACAGCCTCGTAAGCAGTCTCCCAATCCACTCCCAGATCAGCGGCCATTTTTCCAAGCTTGAGATAACTCTCAGCAAGTACAACATCCGCATTGCTGCCGCCTTGGGTGAAGCCCTTGCACAAGCTCATCCGACAATCTGGCAGCCAGCCTTCCTGTCGGTAGATCTCAAGCAGACTCCGTACCATTTGGATCTGCGAGAAGGGGTCCATAATGGTGATCAGCGTATGAATTGACCTGTTGCATAATGGGTTAGCAAGTTAATTATTAGATGCGAGACCTAGTCCCTAAAAACTTTCCTGAAACTGTCCCATATACAGTAAAAACTGTCGTAGTATGGCTCGGTGCTATTCCAAAGTGGGTTCTCATTCGTATAGTCCTGGGGCGAAATGCTCGCGCGATACAACCCCGACCAAAAAACTTTCTGTAAGCTCTCATTAACACCTCCCGGCTTGACTTCAAACACACCGAGCGTATCAGTCCATGCTTGCTGTGCAGCAGCATAAACGCCTTCAAAATCAAAATCAGGAATTTCCGTCTCGGCGTTGTGACATGCTTGAGCGACACTGATGAAACTGACACCAACTCTTGCGAGAATCTGGCTGTTATTCTCAGGAGCGTGGAACCTCGTCCAGGCTCCAGCTGGAAGAAGGTCTGGGGAGTTGTTGATGCCGTCTTGTACAACGGTGAGATTCTTGGGCTCTGTTCCTGGTCGGTTGTTCATGAAGACGCCCGTATCGCGAATTTTGGCACCGGAGAAGTCGGCGCAGAAGTGGGTGGCATAGTTGCCAATGCCAAATGAAGGGCTGAAGACTCCGCTACCGGAGATTCGACCTGTCTCGCCATCCACAGAGATCGATCCGTTGATTCTGGATTGGGGAAGATCAATCAGATCAGCTAGGATGAGCGGACTGAGCGTGGCATTCTTTTCTGCGGGCTGCGATGGGAATGTGAATCGGTAGAGGGCTGTGTGATTCGTTACTGTCATTTCAGTCCGGATCTTTGTCTCAATTTCAATGGAAAAGTAGCCAGGGTGTGCCTCTGCTGTTCCGTTGATTCGTGGGACAGATCGTAGATCTATAGGGAATACGCAGTTGTTTACATCGTCGTCAGGGCAGCCTGATTGAGGGAAGATGGGAAAGTTGCCGAGTGAAGGGGACTATATTGATTGTATGCTCTCGTCAGCCTCTACGAGTTCAGCTTCATAGAAATGCAGACTCACGCCCCCAGTTCCACTGTCATGCATATGTGAAAAGCCTGTGATGTTGCCTGTGACATCCCCAGTAGAAAATCCACCTTTACATGTCGATCAGCAACCTGAAGATCATCACCCATATGCAACATACCTTGATTCTCTACATTGACATCCGCCACGGCTTTCGCCATGCCAAAAGGAAGCGTAGCTCCCGCAAAGACATGTCCGCCGTTAGTCGTCCCAATAAGAGGATCCACCAGAGACAATATGTCGGCGGCTGTGACTGCTTGAAGCAGCATGAAGCCGCCAAGCACAGCACTTGGACGTAATGACATGGCCAATCTGGGAATCTGCCTCCAAGTCCAAGTCAAGAAAGATGAAGCATAAGAGAGGCTCGGGTAAGCTTTTCTCTTGTACTTGACTCTTATTTAGTCCACGGGCATCGTTGTAATGTCGGCGTTCCTGGGCCATGTCACCCCGCATGCGGGAGCTAAGACCATCCTACATCACTCCACACCGCAACCCAGGCTAAATGCCAATGGCAGATCCTCGTCCTGAAGGTGCATGATCAATCTCCGTTCCGGGATAGGTTTGGTTGATGTAACGTCACACAAGAAAAGCGGAGGTGAATGTGCGGGTAGGATTGCTAGGGGAAATCTCGCACGGTCCAAAAAGTGCATAAATGATGATGCAGTTGAAGCAGGTGAAGGATGCATGCATGTGAAGACATCCAACAGGATCAGGATCGATTTTCGTCGCAGTCATGCAAAAGGCACAAAAATGACTTGTAAAAGGTCTCATTATTCGCTAGCTACAGATCAAAACATTAATGTTCCTGTAGCCGTCATGCCAATGCCCGTGCCCATCGTCCAAATGAAAGCCTGGCTGCGTGCCCAAACGCAGACCATTAAATTTAAAAGGTGAATCTTTTCGCATGCTCGAATCTCAAAGTAAAAGTAAAATCGTTGGTCAAAAGCAGAGACGGAACCCTCAAACTCCCAAAACACCGCCAGCAGTGCCAACAAGCTGGTGCAACCACTCGACCATAGCAAGATCAGTAAACAGGTTCGATGCTCTCGACGTAGTCAAAGGGTTGCGTCTTCTCGACAATGTCCGAAGAGCCGTGGTACTGAGGGTTCTGAGGAGCGATTGGGTCGAACTGCTCCTTCTCCTCGGAGCCGGTGTAGATGTTGGCAGACTCGTGGACTGAAGAGTAATCATTCTCCACCTTCTCCTCGGAGTACTTGCCGTAAGGCTCCYCTTTTGCTGGCACAGAGTGCTCAGAGTACGGCGACTGTGAATGCGTGTTAGAAGTTGGAAGCTTGACAAGGTTGGCCAGACTTACGTCGCGCTTGACTGGAGCACCTGGGGCTGCAGCTCCGGTGACGGGGGCCAGCATACCAGTAACGGCATCAAGGCCGAGTTGACGCTTAGCTGGAGCACCTGCTGCGCCCGCCTCTTTGCCACCGGTGAGAGGTTTCAAAATGCCAGTGACTGCATCAAGGGAGAGCTCGGCCTCGCGCTTAGCTGGAGCACCTGCTGCGCCTGCCTCTTTGCCACCGGTGAGAGGTTTCAGAATGCCAGTGACTGCGTCGAGGGAGAGCTCAGCCTCACGCTTAGCTGCTGTGCCACATGATTTGGCAGGCGGAGCGCCGGTGACAGGTCCCAAGAGCTTCATTAGTGCTAGGAGGTCGTGCTGAGCCTCGCGCTTAGCCGGGGCACCTGCTTTGGCAGGCGAAGGGCCGGTGAGAGGCCCGCCGGCGAGAGGTCCCAAGAGGTCCATGAGTGCCGCGAGTTCGGGCTGACGCTTGACCATTTCGGCATCCTCGGCATCCTTGTCCATGCCCATGGCCGCGGACGTGGATGTTGTCAGTTGGCCGTCAGCCTCAGCATTGAAGTCGCCCAACAAGCGGCTGACATCAATCTCACGCCTGACAGGAACGCTTGAAGCAGAAGCAGAGCCCTGGACAGCATTGTCGACATTACCGTTGATACGGAGAGGCGCGATACCCGAGTCATCGAGGAAGCTCGCCAATTTCGAATCTTCACCTTCTCCCAAAAGTTGGAGAGCTTCGCGCTGTGCAAGCGACCCCTTTCCAGTAGCGAGAGCCGACTTTGTGTTGCCAGCAGCGTTGAGCGTAGGGCGGATCTCGCGGGCGTGGCGTCTGGGAATGATGCCGGACTTCTGCAACTGCTGAGCAGCGCTGGTGACGGCGGTCAAGGGGTCAGATTCGGGGTCCGTGGCATCGGACTCCTTGCCGCTGGGAAGTAGTTGCTTGAGGTTTTTACCAACGGGAAGCTCAAGGCTAGAATCAGTGACTTCCTTGTCATTGCTGCCGCTGGCGGCATCCCCGATTGGCAAGAGGTCGACTGGCTTGTTCAAAACCTTTGTGACGTCGGTGATTTTGTCGGTGTCAATGATGCGCGTGGGGTCGATTGTGTTAGGGCCCTGAGGCTCTTGGGGGTCAAATTCGTCCATGAGATCCTTCAGCGCGGATGGTCCCTTGGAAGTAGCTTTGTCCTTGGATTGACCAAGCGAGCCATCGACATCGTCGTTGTTGCAGGCCGATAAGTCAAGGCCAAGGGCGCGCTTTGTCATGCAGTCATCCTCGGTCTCCTTCTCGTCCGTTGCAGCCTTAGGCGCAGATGGCTCCTTGGGAGAAGCTTCTCCCTTAGATTCAGATTGACCAACCGAGCCATCGACATCGGCGTCGTTGCAGGCCGACAAGTCAAGGCCGAGGAGGTTGCGCTTTGCGATGCAGTCATCCTTAGTCTCCTTCTGCTTGGAAGGAGTCTCCTTCTCCTTGG